TCCATCGGGCCCACTCGACTTGCTGACGTCCAGGGAGAAGAGTGCTTTGCGAACCGAGCGCTGTGTAAATCGCACATCCGGCATGGAGCACTCACATCGCGGGATGGTCGGCGGTGTGTTCCCCCCGTCATCTAGAGTCGAGTTAGACGCAAAAAGAGAGCACAACAGATCGGCTTTCTCTTTTGCGGCATGGGCCAGTGAGTCGTCCTCTCTGTGAAGAGATGGAAGGGATGGCTGACAGAAGTTCCCTTGGACAGCCTTAGCGAGAGACCAGAATGCACGGGTTCCCGAAGGAAGGCGAACTAGCTTCTCGCCAATTCTGCCGATGTGCTCAGACCTTGCCTTGGCAATGACGCTTTTGAAGGACCTGGAGGCGGAATTATACTTCTTTTTAAGTGCGCTGGTGTTTAAATCCCGAGACGTTGATGCATCAGCCCAGGCCCAGTAGCACTCCTGCTTATAGCGTGATGCTATTTTACAGGAGCGACCAAACCATGGCTGGGATCTGCCTCCGATGGGCACCACAGAGGATGGAATAAAAAGTTCCATACCCTGAAGTACCACATCAGCAACAGAATCGGCAACAACGCTGGGATCTTCCGGCGAGAAGCAAACCCGCCCCCAAGGGTAGGATGCAAAAAAAGACCGCATCCCGTCCCAATCAGCTGACCTATAGTGCCAAACACGGCGGCAAGCTGCAGATCGCAACTGCGATTGGAGCGTGAGTGGCACCGTGCTCCGGATCAGACAATGGTCCGAAGAGCCCAGAGGGGCATCGACGGAGACCTGATATCCGTCCGGATGAGAGGTCAGCAGAAGGTCCAACAGGGAAGGTACATGGTCTTCCACATCTGGGATCCGCGTAGGCGAAGTAACCAGTTGTGTTAGACCATATGCCAAAGCAAAGTCGTACACAGATCTACCCGCATGATCGGTTAAACGAGAACCAAGCCATTCAGCGTGGTGGGCGTTGAAATCACCGAGTATCACGATCTCTGCGGATGGGACCTGTTGTAGCACGGAGTCTGCAGCCATTTGGACGTGGTCGATGAGTCGGTCTGTGTCGGCATTACCGCTATAGGACCTATAGAGGCACCCGTAGACGCGGGGATGATCGTCGCTGTCTACGCGCAGCCATAGGATGGACAGGTCCGTGCCTTCAAGGCTGCCGAGGCGTCGAAAACAGATGTCCTCTCTGACGTATACACAAACTCCAGCCCGGGGCACAAAGGAGTGTTCCAATTTGTATCCCGGGTAGGAGAGATATGAAGTATCAGCCGGAGAGGACACCTGAGTCTCGGTTAAAAAGAGCAAGGCCGGCTTCGCCGTCTCTAGATGGTATTTCTTGGGGAAGGCCTACGTTTAGCAGTGGATTTGTGTCAGCAGTGTATAAATAAGTTCCACTAGGTTTTTTGGTGGTTCTTCCCAGGTCAGAGGTTTTTTTCCATACCAATGGTAAAAGTTAAATGACTTTCAATAAGTATACTTGTAAACTTGTTTTGAATAAAAACTATTCTATTCTATTCTGTGATGGGCTGTAATGGATAATGAATGGATGAAGCTTACGGCACATAAATTGTCCAACGCCCTTGATACATACGACTAACTTACGATAAGAAATTATCACTGCGATTTAAATCAATTAAGATTTGTATGTTTTTAAATCTTTATCAACTATAGACACTTATTATTTGGGTAAATTTAGAGAAGTTCTATGTTTCGTGTGGCGAGTGTAAGGAAACGGACTCTTTTTACTGGAAACGAGGCATTATTCCATCTTAGTCCTCAGGGGTGACAACGCATTATGTATTTTGTTTCTTAATCCAGGATAGATCTAGCTGCCTATGGGCCACAGCATCCTCTTACCATCGGGTGGACTGTGTGCTCGTTTGTCATCCTTATTCTATAAAAAAATCATAGTCGTTAACGCTAACATTTATGTACAATTTGATATATATATATTTTAAAAAAAGATTTTAAATATGTATAATTAACATAATCATATTTACCGACCAGATAGTTACAGAAGAATGCCTTAGTTGTAACGGAGACAAATTATGCTACATTGCCTGCATCTTTGTCGGTGTCGTCTCTCGCAGTATTTTTCATTTAGCGCGGTAAAACGGACGCGCGAAAGTGCAAAGGCTTAACGAGCGTAATTGTTTGTCATACGTGAAATTAAAAAAAATGAAGGACGCGGGAAAGGAAAATGATATGAAAATGCTAGTAAATTTAATAAATTGTTTAATTAACTTTGTAGTTTAGGTTGGAGACATGCTCCAAATAGCTCAGATTCGATGAAATTTTCTCTTAATTGGTTTAATAATTAGAAACTCATTTTAAAATGGTGTCGATATTGTAAGCATCGGATGCCTTGGATTGCAAGTGGTATTAAGTCATACATAAGTTACGGAAATTTGAAAATGTGGTTCAAAACGTGTAAACGTAATGATTATAACTACAAGGATATGAACAAACGGACTGTTAGTTCAAGTGTGTGTAGTTGTCTGAACAAATTATTTGGATATGTGAAGAATATAATTAATTATTTTGGTATGTTTTTCTTAAGTTCTTTTATATTTTGTTATATACTCAGTATGATAACGCTAGAGATAGATACGTCATAAAATCATTAATTCTGTGAGTCAAGTTAATCAAAGTTACGTAAGTAAAGTTAATTAAGTTACTTGTGTAAGCTTTAAATTTTCCTGTCGTTTTACAACATGAAGTTTACATTAAACTTTTCCTTTTTTTCATATTTTATGTACAAATATGTAAATTTTCGATTCAAATTCAACTTTACGAACAGTAGTTATTATCGTATAATTTAATCAAATCTAACACTTAAAGTTACTATTTCTAGTTTGTGCATTTGATATCAATTAAGGTTAAGGTTGGATAAATTATAACATCCGACCTTATGTAAAATCGTTGATTATTATCACTTACTCTATTTATTATCTCTATACATGTCTCTTTCTATTGTTATTTATTGAAGGGAGGAACAGCTACTTTAAGCATTTCTTAAATCGACGACGATTTTTACGATGGAGGCCGAATTTTATAAATAATAACTTTATCAGCCGTTCGCAAACCCCTGGTAGTAACGAGCTTCTTGAGATTCCTTCTAGCATATATATGTATATAATTTGAAAGCCTTGCGCATACTCATCACGCTGTGCAACCGGCAATGACAATGGGTTAGTAAACACGGAGCCAATGCACACGTACTGTCAATGCATCATGACATAATAGTATTTAGAATGGATATACCGCCATTTGTCAATTTTGCACATTTTCACATTTCCTAAATCCAGAATATACAATTCGTTGACCTATATTTTTAGCTGTAATGGAGAGACCCATTACTGTTTAACTTAATTTACTTGGAATCTTGAATACTTCAAACCGAGATTGTACAACCAGTGCGTGTTGCCAGTGGTGTCTTATCGTTCGGAGCCGTGGTCCTTCACTGCTGTCCGTATGAGCAAGCTCAAGCTCGCTCAGCGAGATGTAGAGAGGGCTATGCTCGAAGTTTCTCTGCGTAATAAACTTAGAATATCCGCAGCAGAACCAGAGTAACCGACATAGCCTAACGGATTAGTAAGCTGAAGTGGCAATGGGTCGGCTATATAGCTCGAAGAGCCGGCAACCGATGAGAGAAGAAAGGTTCCCGTGTGGCAGCCTCGTACCGGTAAGCGAAGTGTGGGGCAGACTCCCACTAGATGGAGTGACGACCTGGTAAGATATGCAAGAAGTCGATAGATGCAGGTGGCTTAGGTTCATGCTTAGTGGCTTCCTTGGGGAGGCCTATGTTCAGCAGTGGACTTGTGAAAGGCTGTAATGATGATGATGATGATGATGATGATGACTTGGAATCTTAGAAAGTTTTAGTAACTTCGGATTAAACGGATCTAACTAATTAAGGATTATTTTATTTTTTACTATATCGCTGCTTCAATAAAAATATTCCTCAGTCCTGGACGAACCTTGTTTGTCATGGATCTATAATATTTCTTCTGTTACATACAATTTATAAAATTTTCCACCAAATGCGAACCACAAACCACTACTAAAAACTACTACAAAACTAAACACTGTTAAACTACAGAATAAATAATAGTACAAGAAGTAAAATATGAAATAAAAAATTCGCTTTTGAGAAAAGACCGTTCATTGTGACACTTAATTTTTTTTTCTTTCGTTCGCTCGTGCTCGAAGTATATGTAGATTTATCGCATGACCTTTTCATAATAAATGCTTTCCATGGGGCTAGCTAACAGTTAATTGCTTGCAACACTAACCCAGCTATGAATACCATCTATGCTAATAACTAACTTAACATTTACTAATAATGCATTTTTTTCCTTTTTCCCCCAACCCTATTATTGCTTTTGTTTGTTCCAATGTTTGTTCAATCCTACCCACACTTGCATACATTCAAAATATGAATTTGATAACCCCATAACATTATATTTTTTTATAATTTAAATTCGTTTCAAAATTTTCACATTCAAATTTCGAATAATTTCTTTCTAATTTGTAATCTATAATATCAAATAATGAATGGTTGCGCCATGTCGTAATCAATTACGGTCAATTTGTCCTTTTCGTTGCATGACCGTTTTATCAACTTACGCGTCCTGCGAGGTAATAATGCTCGCCACACGGATCACGCGTGGACCATTTCTGCTGTATTGTTACGAACTATTTATAATGGAAAATAACCGCGAAACTTGACAATCTTGTCTTCTTGTTTTTTTTTTTTCAAATTATTCGACTTATAAACAATTAATCTGGTACTTACTTTTAAATACACAAATTAACTAATTTTTCTCTAATTACAAATGTTCTAAAATCGATTTCGAACTTCAAAACACTCACAATTCTACTGAATCCGTGCTCCTTTCCTAATCACCTCTCCCGCTTTTCTCTTTTGTTCTCCTTTGTTGTGTTGCGTACAGCCCACACCCGTAGCAAAGCATTCTTCACATACACAGACGGTATATACGAAGAGGAATATAGCTGTTGGCCGCCGGCGATCTGCATGATCCTGATCTCATTGATTGAGATAGTGCTGTTCTGCTACGATGCCTCCCAGGGGAAGACGGACGCGACGGGCCCCGTCGCACAGATCTTCATCTACAATCCACATAAGCGGCAGGAGGCGTGGCGCTTCCTCACATATATGCTGGTGCATGTGGGGTACGTTACTTACGAACATAAATTTCATCAATCATAAATAATAAACCATGTAATGGCGGTGTAAGAATATCTACTACTACCCCATATGTGGGTACCGTGGGTGTCGTAAAAGACGACAGAGTTAAACTGAAACGGGAGATGGGAAGCAGCATCTTCCTGATAACAAATCAAAATAATTAAAAAAAAACTGCCAAGCGTGGCAACTATGGCGAAATCTCTCCTATGCAATCATTTTATATTGATTATATTTGGGGAAGGTCTGCGTCTGCAGCGGACTTTTACTGGTTGTAATAGATGGACGAATGATGATCGATTTAATGTCCTCAAGGTCGAATTTCGGTTACGGCAGCTGGTCCCAACTGAATCTAGTAATCTTCGTAGGACAGGATTATAGTGCCCGAGTGTGTGCGCGTGTCCTCAAGACCGAATTTTGGTTACGGCGCCTGATCTCAAGAGAGTTTAGCAATCTTCGTAGGACAGGATTATAGTGCCCGAGTGTATGCGCGAAAACACGTGCCACTCTGTATTCCCTCACTCTCATAGTCCGATTGGACGGTAATCCGATACGACCGGAGAGAGATCAGGCGCAGGACCAACGGCTTCACGTGTCTTCCGAGACACGGGAGAGACATTCCTGAGAGGCCTAGAGGTGGAATTTCTGGACAGAAAATCATTTATTAAATTACCAACTTTAATATAATGGATTTCCGCAAAGTAACGCCTGATTCTATTAATTATCAGAAAATCATTTACTTAAGACAACGCTACTTACATGAATCACATGTCATATATATTGCTAAACAGACGTATTTGTATGTATAAATGATATATATATATATATATATATATATATATATATATATATATATAAATGTATATATGTGTATACATAATTATATACATATAAATACGTATGTACATAGACATACGTACTATATAGTAGTAGTGTGCGTATAGGTTAATATTTGTAGTCTATCTATTAGTTACCGTGTAGTGGCGGTCAAGGTCAAGAATATCCACTACCCCATATCCTCCCGTGCGTGTCGTAAAAGGCGACAAAGGGAAACAGGCAGGAGATGGGCAGCAGCATCTTCCTGATAATAGCCAAAATTACAATAAAAAAACTGCGGTTGCCAACCCGCTCGCCAAGCGTGGCAACTATGGCAAATACCCCCCTATGAATGTAACAAAGAGACGGCCCCCAGTCCCCGGCGGCCCCGCTATTCCTGGCTACGGTGGCGACCATGGTAACGGCGGGGCAGGGGGTGCTAGGAATCTCCGGTGGAGGTTCGGTTGCCACATTAGACGACTCGACCTGGCAACGTACAACGCACGCACCCCGAGGACTGACGAGAAGATCGTGGAGCTGGAAGAAGAGATAGATAAGTTGCGCTGGCATATTATAGGATTATCCGAAGTCCGAAGAGGACACGGAGGACACGGTAATCCTCGAATCCGGCAACTTGCTCTATCACCGGGAGGGCGACCATCTGTCCCAAGGAGGTGTCGGATTTATCGTCCACAAGTCTCTCGTTAACAACGTTGTAAAGATCGGGAGTGTGTCGACGAGGGTTGCGTACCTTATACTCAGAATCACCAAACGGTATTCGCTGAAGGTCATACAGGTTTACGCACCAACCTCGGCACACCCCGATGAAGAGGTGGAGGAAATGTATGAGGATATCTCTAGAGCCATGCATTCCTCCAAAACCCAATATACGGTGTTAATGGGAGACTTCAATGCAAAACTAGGCACAAGAGAGAACGGTGAGCTGAAAGTAGGGAAATTTGGAATAGGGCAACGGAACCCAAGGGGCCAGCAGCTGGCCGACTTCATGGAGAAAGAGGGACTCTTTATGATGAACTCTTTCTTCCAGAAGCGGACCCACAGGAAGTGGACCTGGTCGAGCCCCGACGGTTCGACAAAAAATGAGATTGACTTCATTATGACGATCAGACGACAACTGTTCAGTGATGTCTCCGTGATCGCGAGGGTGAAAACTGGTAGCGATCACCGAATGGTTAGAGGCACACTGAACCTAAACGTTAAGTTGGAGAGGTCTCGTCTAATGAAGTCAACGCTCCGTCCCCCTCGTGCTCTGTTCCAAAGTCCCGAAACCTTTCAGCTCGAGTTACAAAACCGTTTTCAGTGCCTAGAAGACTGCAATGAAGTGGACATCATGCAACAATCCATGCGGTCGGACCTAAGTTCTGCAAGACCCGCCGCAGAAGAACACAAAAACTCTCCGATCACACTCTTAATCTCATGGCTGTTAGACGGGAGATGAAGCTACATTCTTCAACAGACTTGACAGCATACAGGCATCTGAACAGACAGATCTCCAAATGCATGCGGCGGGACTTACGCAACTTCAATACAACTCGTATTGAAGAAGCGATCGAGCGGAACCAAGGCTCCAAAGTCTTTGCCAGAGATCTGTCTGCCAGAAAGAGCCAGTTGTCAAAGCTGAAGACAGAATGTGGCAGCACCTGAGATTTTGAGTGAGATTGAGAGGTTCTATGGGCAGCTGTACACGTCATCGTTGGAGCCAAACGCAAGTGTGAGTAACGATCCAAGAGCGAGTCTCATCAGACACTATTCCGAAGATATCCCGGACGTCAGTCTGAGCGAGATTAGAATGGCTCTCCAGCACCTTAAAAACGGTAAGGCCCCAGGCGAGGATGGAATTACAGCGGAGCTTCTGAAAGCGGGTGGAAGACCGGTACTTGAAGTCCTTCAGAAGCTCTTTAATTCCGTCCTCCATGGTGGCATTACACCGGAGGCGTGGAGCAGAAGTGCGGTGGTCTTGTTCTTCAAGAAAGGTGACAACGCTCTCTTGAAGAACTACAGATCGATTTCCCTTCTGAGCCGCGTCTACGTGCTGTTTTCGAGAGTCATTACGAATCGTCTCGCGCGCAGACTTGACGACTTCCAGCCTCCCGAACAAGCCGGTTTCCGAAAGGGCTTTAGCACAATAAACCACATACATACCCTTCGGCAAATTGTACAGAAGTCCGAAGAGTACAATTTGCCACTATGTCTGGCGTATGTGGACTATGAGAAAGCCTTTGATTCCGTCGAAATTTGGGCAGTGCTGCAGTCCCTTCAGCGGTGCCAAGTTGACTGCCGGTATATCGAAGTGTTGAAGTGCTTGTACAGTAGGGCTACGATGGCTATCCGAGTACAGAATCAGAGTACGAAACCTATCCAATTGCAGAGAGGTGTAAGACAGGGTGACGTCATATCCCCGAAACTCTTCACCGCTGCATTGGAAGACGTTTTCAAGCTTCTGGTCTGGAAAGGATACGGTATCAACATCAATGGCGAGTACATCACTCACCTTCGATTTGCCGACGATATAGTCCTTATGGCAGAATCGCTGGAGGACCTAAGCACTATGCTCAATGACCTCGATAGTGTTTCCCAACGGATAGGTCTTAAGAACATGGACAAAACAAAGATCATGTTCAATGTCCATGTCACACCTATGCCGGTAGTTGTTGGGAGCACTAAGCTCGAAGTTGTTGACGAGTATGTTTACCTGGGACAAATAGTCCGACTAGGTAAGTCCAACTCCGACCGAGAGGTCAATCGACGGATTCAACTCGGCTGGGCAGCGTTCGGGAAGCTACGACACATCTTCTCGTCAGACATACCTCAAAACCTGAAAACGAAATTGTACAACCAGTGCGTGTTGCCAGTGATGACTTACGGAACTGAGACGTGGTCCTTCACTGCTGGCCGTATGAGGAAGCTCAAGGTCGCTCAGCGAGCTATGGAGAGGGCTATGCTCGGAGTTTCTCTGCGTGATAAACTTAGGAATGAGGATATCCGCAGTAGAACCAGAGTAACCGACATAGCCCAACGGATTAGTAAGCTGAAGTGGCAGTGGGCTGGCCATATAGCTCGAAGAATCGACAACCGATGGGGAAGAAAGGTTCTCGAGTAGCAGCCTCGTACCGGTAGGCGAAGTGTAGGGCGTCCCCCCACGAGATGGAGTGACGACCTGGTAAGACATGCAGGAAGTCGATGGATGCAGGTGGCTCAGGACCGTGCTTTGTGGCATTCTTTGGGGGAGGCCTATGTTCAGCAGTGGACTTGTGAAGGGCTGTAATGATGATAATGATGATATTAGTTAAATGTTTTTTTTATTCTATATTGCCACACCTACGTTAAATTCTCACCATTCCATGGGTTGACTGGTAGAGAATGCCTCAAGGCATTAACTCCGCCCTTTTGTATTCTTTTGATTAAGAAATGCAATCTATACAAATAAATAAAATTGAAGTGTCTGTTTGTAATGCTTTTTGCTATATGCATATGAAAGTATATGTATATGGTACTTATGACAAAAACACGAAATTTTAAATTTTTGTCTGTCTGTCTGTTTGTTCCGGCTAATCTCCGAAACGGCTGGACCGATTTTGACCGGACTTTCACTAGAAGATAGCTGATGTTATAAGGAGTAACTTAGGCTACTTTTATTTTTAAAAAATAATTAGGGTTCCGCGCAAAAAATTCAAACTTTTGAAATCCAATCGTAATAAATTACACGCGGGCGAAGTCGCAGGGAACAGCTAGTAAATTAATAAAAATAACCGATATTGCCCAGAGATTAGAACCCGAGACCTCATGACCAACAATCGCGTTTACGACCACTACACCGACGAGACAGTCATGTGATGACAATAATATTATATTTGTTAGCAATTTATCACTGTAGTGGCAGCGTTAGAGAATCTCAGCATCATATTTCGTTCCGTAAGTGTCGTATGAGATGACTATGGAATAATTTAGTTAAGATCATATTATGTATTTTCTGAAATGATATTTAAATGGTCGGCGAGAGGAAGCAGTTTCTAAGGTGCGAAAAATCTGTTATTCCGCATCCGTCTGCCAAGCGTGACAATTAAGGAAAATACAAATAATAATAAAAAAGTGTTTGTGTACTTATGTACGCACGTAGGAAGTTATACTTCTTTAGAGCAACAAAGCAAAAAAACTTGTGAGACAATTACCCACTGAAATTGTCGCTTTTAGGTGTCAGTTTGCGCGCGCATCGTATCAACTTTATGGTGTCGTTTTTGGCTGTCGGTGTGCGCGCGCATCGAAAAAAAATCACTCTTATCATTTTTCCCAAACAAAAAAGAAATATAACTTGAAAAAATTATAAACATACTAACCATCCGCCCCGGCTTCGCACGGGTTCTGGATCTCGACAACAGCGCCCCACATACCGGATCCAATCGTGAATCTAAACAATCGAGGGACGCACTCGAACACACAAAAAATTTCATCGATATCGTTCCAACCATTTTCGAGTTTTTGCGAGAATAACGGACAGCGATTGATTATTATATTAAAGAAGATATCATGTTAATTTTTAAATATATATTTAAATATGTTAATTATATGCACGCTACCTACTTGCTGTACATATAAAACTATTTCTCTTTCACCAAGGGTTTGCTGGAAGAGAACTCTTATTAGGGTCAACCTCGCTTTTGTACATCTTATTTAATTATTTAAAATTGTTATCATCTTATACTGTGTACAATAAATAATAAAATGAAATTCTCTCTACAATGGAAGAAAACCCAAATGCAGTAGTAGACTTATACGGACTGAAGATAATATATTTGTTAGTCCGTACAACATACAAATACTTGGTACAGTCCCTTGACACTTAAAAAATTCTAAATATAGCTATTTCAACTTTCCTTGTGGTAGTTCGTAGCTATTTTATATATACCTACTGCAGGACTTCGAAACTTTGATAGTGCGATTTAAGCTTCGGTGCGTTTCGCTTGTGACGCGACGACAGCGCCCCCACTGTTACTTCAAAGCATTTTCTCTCATTAATAGAAACTGCAACTACAGTAGAATCCGTTCATTATGACTCCGCCTATATTGACCAACCGCTTATAATAATTACACAGCAAAGTTTGGTTTTCATATAAAATTCTTTATAACAAAGTCGGATATAATGACTTCGCTTATCGCTTATTGTGACCGATTTTTTAATAAATTGTGTCGGGATATAGTGACCGACATGATTCCTAACATCTACAATGTTCGGGAGAGGCACGTGATGCCCGACGACGTTCGGGGCGTGCATGGCTTTTTTTTTGTTTTGAGCCTCAGTGGGTAATTGATATTTGAAGGTCACGTATTGTTTGTTAGAGATTTGTGAGAAAAATTACATCTCAACGTCGTCGTAAAGAATTTACAATTGACGAGAAAGGTGCAATAATATGCAGATTAGAAAATGGAGAATCCAACTCATCTCTCGCAAGGGAATTTGGGGTTGGTCATTCGACAATTTCAATTATTTTCAAAAACAAAAACCAGATTAAGGAATCGTTCAATTCAAATGTTTTGAAATCGAAGATGCTTCGAAAATTGCAACAGGAAAATGTTGGTCAAGCGTTAATTCAGTGGTTTAAAATCATGAGAAACTAAACTATACCCGTCAGCGGCCCTATGTTTTAGTATTCTTGACTTCAAATGTTCTGCGAGCTGGATAAGTCGTTTTAAAGTTCGACATAAGATTGTAGCAGGACAAATCGTCGGTGAATATGTGTGTGTTGATCAAAATTCGACAACAAACTGGTTGACGTCTGTGTAGTCGAATCTACAGAGAATATTTTCTAATAATGAGATTTTTAATGCAGATGAAACTGGACTATTTTACAAATTAATGCCGGACAGAACTTTAAAATTTAAAGGTGCTAATTGTAGTGGAGGCAAGTTGTCGAAATGCATTTCATGATAGCAGCAAATATGAGCGGCACAGAGAAAAAGAAATTGCTCGTTATTGGAAAGTCACAAAAACCAAGATGTTTTAGCAGTGTTAAATCGTTACCTGTCGGTAATAATATAAATAAATAGTTTACATAATAATATAAATAAATAAATAGTTTACAAGAAATCGTAAAGCTTGGATAACGTCAGAAAATTTTGAAAAATTACATCGAGGTTGGGATCGCGAATGAAAAAATACATTACATATGTACTTGTTACGTAAAATTTTTATTTTAATTTATCTCTATTTTGTTTCTCTCTATTAAAATAAATACATACTAACAAAAACAGGAGATTGTTTATTTTCTACAAAATGCTTAGTATGACGTCCGCTTAGTATGACGTGTTTGTTATTTCCCTTCGATGTCGTTATAAACGGATTCCACTGTACTTCCTATGCCTGGGAGTTTTTTCTACTTTGCTACTTAGAATAACAAATGACTAATGAGCTGATAATCCACGTGATGGTAAGTGGATACTGTAGCCCTGCAAACCAATTTCAAATGAGTATAGCCTCAGATTCGTTGTGAGTCACCTGTGAAAACTGACAATGACTCACTGCCTGTGATTGCTGCATCAAGGTCAAAGTCAAAATGTCATTATTCAATTTAGGCAATTAGACATGTTTTAAACTCTTTTGGGGAGCGATAGACTGAAAATTAGTTTGTGTGATAAAATAACGGTATTACTTATACGTTTTACCTTAGACTTCTACGTGGTAGAGGCACGCTGAAGCTATATTACAGTTGTAGCACGAATGGGTCGGCTCGACCGGGGAAGGACCATGCTAGCTAAAATAGCAGCTTAATGCAGCTGTGTTTCGTATGGTGAGTATAGAGAACTGGGGACCTTATTTACTGGAAACAAGGCATTCCACGTTGGTCGTCAGGGGCGACGACAACGCATCTGCATAATGATTCTTACAAATATAAATAAAAATACCTCACAGAATACCAGTGTAAAATAGCAGCTTAATGTTGCTGCGTTTTGTATGGTGAGTGTAGTGAACTGGGGACCCTTTTTACTGGAAACAAGGTATTCCACCTTGATCGTCAGGAGCGACGACAACGCATCTGCATAATGATTCTTAATCGAGGATAGATGTAGATGTCTATGGGCCACATCATCCACATCCCATCAGGTGGACTGTGTGCTGGTTTGTTACCCTATTTCTAGCTATCTCAGCGTATTAATAGGCTGAACTGGCAATGGGCCGGCCGTGTAGCTTTTTTACAAAAATTATGTAGCTTGTTAAGATTCTCTTTGGAATCTTTCTGCTAAATTTTAAAATACATTATCATAGAATAGTGTCATCCCTAACATGCAGCCCAGATAAAGATTAAAGGGTAATTACTAACGCAACTAGGCACTTCAGTAATTAGAAAATTATCAGACACCTCCGCGTGTAAAGGCGCGTTAATGTCTCCGAGACTGTATGACCGCATAGTCCGCGCCATTTCTGCGTTCATTACTTATCTGTGTTATCGCTGTTTTAACTATGTATGTATCTGCTGTCGTCAGTCATATTTCTTTGTAAGAAAACTTCTTTGCAATTTTACGGAATATATCGCGTATAAATTCCATTGGGTCTTTGGAGTCTCTCCCGTGACCGTGGGTGCTGTAAAGTACCCGAAACGTCGACAATTAAAAAAGTTCAAATTATTCGCGTCAATATACGAAATCATCATATTTCATTGTTTCAAAACAGAAGTAAGTATTAGTATTTATTACTCTACAAAATTTTATTTAAATAAAATTACAAAAAAAAACAGTACATTATATATGTACTGTTTATCGTTATATTCTAGTAGATCTACTGACAATCCACCAAAGTAATCTATAGATACGACATTTCAAACAGTGTTAGTAATTTTAATTTTAATTTATTTTGATGTGTTCAAGTATTCTGCATTACATTCTTCTTCTTCATCATCAATCCGTAAAACTCCAATGTAGACATGTGTCAATCGTGAATGATTCGTTTATTTGACTGACCCGGGTCGCATCAAGGTATTGATGATTGCAATTACAATTTTGAACGTTCAGGATCAAACAATTGATAGGACCTACGACCAGAGTATAGTAATGTCCGACGAACGACATCATCGACCAAGTCTCACAGATCACAGATTTCAATGATCGACCCAAATGACCCGGTTCGTAAGACTAAACAATACTTGAATGATACTCCAATGTGGGTATGAGTCATCACGCTTTGCAGGCCGATTCACAATTCCAATATCAGACCGTTACTGTGACAGCCTTATTAAATTCCTTCCCCATGGATCGCCTCATAGGGGGGATATTTGCTATAGTTGCCACGTTTGGCAAGAGGGTTGGCAACCGCAGTTGTTTTTATTATAGTCATTATTAGAAAGACGCTGCTGTACATCTCCTGGTTTTTTTCTCTCTGTCGCCTCTTACGACACCCACGGAATGATATGGGGTAGTGGATATTCTTACACTTACAAAGGCAGTCGGGTAAAAAGTGAGCCTTAGAGTAAGCTCTGCAATACTCATATACATGTATCGACTGTATTCTCATGTATCCAGTACGGATTAGTTTGATTGCCTCGTTGATTTAGTGGTCGTAAACGCGATTGTTGATTACGATAGGGGTTTAGGCTCAGAAGGGCTAGAATCCAGAGCCGTAAAGCCAGTTTTAGAAAAAATTCGATAGGGTTAGGATCTCGGATCCGGTTTAAAATCAGTTATTGGGTATTTCTGTTAAGAAATTATCAATAGCAGCCAGGAGTCGGAAAAATGACGGTGTTTCATCCGCGTGCCTCGGAAAACACGTGAAGCCGTGGGTCCTGCGCCTGAATTCCCTCCGTTCGTGTCATAATACCGTCTTATCGGACTATGAGAGTGAGGGAATAGAGAATGCACTTGTGCTTGCGCATACACTTGGGCACTATAATCCTGTAAGTGTAATGCGCAGATGGCTAGTCTCCGTTCAGACTGGCCGCCGTGACTGAAATTCGGTCTAGGGGATATAATAATTATTATGGATTAGCAATGTAACGTAAGATCTTGCCAACCCGCAGCGTGGTGCACTTGGTGGTGAACCTGCTAGTGCAGCTGTTCCTGGGGGTGCCGCTGGAAATGGTGCACCGGTGGTGGCGCGTGGCGCTGGTATACGTGGCGGGCGTGGCAGCTGGCTCGCTTGCCACCAGCCTCACCGACCCCAAGGTCTACCTGGCCGGCGCTTCCGGTGGCGTTTACGCGCTCATCGCGGCGCATATCGCCACTATTATTATGGTGAGCTTTTAAATGAAATACAAACAATGGCTTTTATTCTTTGGTAATGGATCGGAAATACTTTTGGCAGTGTCAAGTAAATTCAGAAATTATCCTTTATAATAATTTGTTTCAAAACATGTTCATGTTGAGTTTTTGAGACAGTTTTGCTTGGGCCAGGAAACAGTCGATGACGGTAGTAACTCAAGCACCTAACCAAACACCTTATCTTGAGATTCACATCACCATCGGAGCACTTGTTTCATCGTTTTCACTAATAGTTCACAGGCATTTAATACACAAGATCGCACCACTTTTACGTATCAAAATCTACTACAAACCAATAATTAAAGAATAATACAGGAGTAGCAATCCGCCGCCGATCAAGTTCTCGTCTAAACTCTCCTACTACAAACGATGTTACAAAGTACTGGTATTTTTAATAATGATAGAATTATTGACGCTGCCAGATTTATTAGCTTGATGATCAGTTTTATTACATCTGTAATATTAACCTTTACGATTCGAAATTGATTTTGGTCGTTTAAATTTTTCTTTTAAAATTTGTATGTTATTATTTGGAGGATCAGGCAAAGGATTAGAAATGTATTATGCGTAGTTTATGGGGAATTTTATATTACTTTATTTTTGTAGAAAGCGCAATAATTTAAGTATTGCGCGTCACTGTGGAATTTACTACAATTTTTATTCTAACATTTTATATGAAATGTATTAAAAGTTTAATTTAATATAAAACAGTGGATATATTATTATATATACGAATATATTATTCACTTTGGATTCCAAAAATAGTCCCAGAATAAGAGATGCCGTTAATCAATTAGTAAAGCGAGTATCTTAGTAAAGACTTAAATTCAGCTTTTGACCTAGTAAGTCACAGGATAATAAAAAAAACATGGAATGACATTTAATTTGTAGATTTTTTCTGAAGTTAAAAAACTGCTACAAAGGACAACACAGGAGGTCATTACGAATTCCAAAATATCCTACATAACTGGGAGTAGAGTCCCGCAAGGTTACATTTCATGGCCAATATTTCTTATTTTATTTGTAATTGACATTTTTTAAGGTATCATACAGAATGCAAAAACGCTTTTAAAAGACGCCGCTTTACTTAGCTTTAGCATCGGGTAGTGTCAGTAAGAGGTAATAAAACCACATATATAAAAAGATATGGTCGACTTTTTTAAAAAAAAAAGTTATTTCTATAGGTTTGAATACTGATCCTGATAACGTACTTAACGGGAACCATAGGGTTTTTGTTACATGTTGTATATTTTGTTTGTAATCGCGTTCTCGAAAAGGACTCCAAGGATTTCGAAGAAATTTAGAATATGGGGGTATTAGACGCAAAATCGATCTATCTAGGTCTCATTTTTAGAAAAATTCGTTATCTCTGTGTTTTCACATACTATGCAATCAACTTGACATTGAACCATTAAAAGTGGCTAAATTACTGTACTTTAAATTTATTATGATGACATTATGAAAACATTAATTGTTATCCAAGCAGATAAAGTATTTCTAAAATGTGGGGCATATCAGGAAAAAGAAATATAACTCTATCCTGATACGATTAGGCTCAACTTATTGTGTGCTAAATATTATTATAAAATACACTTTACTTTATATAATAAGAAGGTTATGGGGTGAGGAATAGAAATTCAGTCCGCCGGAACAATTATTCGTAGACCATACAAACACTTGTTCCGTGCGGTATCCGAAACCGCGGCCCTTAGCGGCTCCTCATTGCCAGGCCACTGCGCCACGGAGCCGAACTCTTAACTGAAATAATTGAAACCTTGCTTTGCAGAATTGGGCAGAGATGGAGTTCGCGATAGTTCAACTGCTAGTTTTTCTATTACTGACGATCGTAGACATTGGTACGGCCGTGTATGACCGCTACTGGAGACACTTGCAGCAGAACATTGGATACGTGGCACATCTGGCTGGCGCTGTGGCTGGTGAGTAGAGATAATATTCAAGATGTTAAAAAACAACTTGCTAGGATCCGTGTATTAAAAAAAATGATGTGGCTTACCTAGTTTGAAGAACAACTCCCGCCTTCCTTAATTGCGTGCACTGTCCTCGTCACCACTAATCCCAGCCCAACTACTCCCAACACCACTACACTAGGTGAGACACACCGCCTCTACACGGGGCTTCCTCAGGTGAAGTAGACTCTGTGATCGCTGACCACTAAGTCTTTCCGCAAAAGTAATGCCTGATTCTATTATATTAGAGATAATATTGTCCAGAACTTAATGTTTTGTTATATTTTTGCGAATAATACACGTTAAATAAAAATAATTTTACGGATTTTATAGCGTTTAACTTTAGCTTTTTAATTTCCAACGTTTCGAGTGCTTTACAGCAAGTCCCCGCCATGATGATTGATAAACCACAAATCTTCGCAAAATAACATCGATTCCTACCAAGGATGATTACGCGAGGCTATTGTAATTTAAAAAAAAACATCTTAATTTCAATAGAGATGATGGATGGGGGTGCCTCCACCTGCTTGGGATCCTATAATTAATAAAATTAAATCTCAACCCGTGTATACCACCGCAAGCACAGGATAAATAATAGTACTACGTACCGCAAGACTTCAAGATACTGTAAGCTCGTTCTGCGTAGATCGAACCAAAAACTAATACATATTACATTTAAACTAATAAAGTACCCGGGCTAACTATGACATAGGGACATCAAACACCTTAGTCCCCCCGTAACAATGGATACTGTGAAGAACCCGAATTAAAATGTTAAAATGAAACACGATAAAATCCGAACAATAAGTTTGATTTAATTGTCGTGTCACATTTTCTAATACCTAGTACTAAATATTGACTTCTATATTTTAGGTCTATTAGTAGGTATAGGAGTACTCCGTAACTTAGAGAAGAGGAAGTGGGAGAAGAGACTGTGGTGGGCGGCGGTGGTTATCTACTTCTCGCTCATGTTAGCGGGAGTGCTGGCTAATATCTTTTGGTACTCGCATTTCCAGTGAGAAGGAAGAATGTTTTAAAACCAAAGGATCATTTTTGCTTGTGAAAATAAAAAAAAATGTCTATTGTTTTCTTTGTTTAAAAACGGAAATTATAATGGCTTTACTATTTAAAAACTAGCTTACCCAACCAAATAACTGTCAATAGACCAAAAATAATTATTTTCATTATAAAAGATTTTTTTATATGTAAATTGATTTGTTAAATCTATAAAAAAAAACTTTTGTAGCGATGGCAAGTTCTTGGTACTACAGTCGTTAAAAGTTAATTTTCGGCACATAATATGAAGTATAGTAGTAGTAGTATCCCCACTACTAATGCAGTTTAATATCTTTTTTAAGTCGTGAAATATTTTTATTCCCATTAAAAAAACTTTATAAAACATATCTTCATATTGTACGTAGAATTTTAAATTAAGTTACACAAATAACGTTTACTATGCACGCCGAAAAATAAACGGATTCGGTTTACTTTTTTTTTATAGAATAATAGGTTTATTCTACCAACTATTAACTATTCTACCAACGAGCACATAGTTCACCTGATGGTAAGTGGATGCTGTGTCTCATAGACAACTACGAGTACATTTATCCTCGATTACAAATCAAAATGCAGATGCTTTGTCACTCCTGAAGACTAAGATGGAATGCCCCGTTTCCAGTAAAAAGGGTCTCCGGTTCTCTACACTCACCATACGAAACTAGCAGCGTTTAGCTGCTATTTTACGCTGGTATATTGTGAGAGCGTGGTTCTACCCCGGACGAGCCGATCCATTCGTGCTACAACCACAGTATAGTTGCAGCTTGGCTCTAACACGTAAAATGCTTACTGATAACTTCACTCTAAACGTTACTTTTTCAATATACCCTCATCTCACGCCGCCATTTAAAGATTACATATTATTAATTTTACAAGTCTGCCGCAAAATTAAGGACTCTCAATATAATTATCATTTACTTGCCATCATGACTGACTGAGAAGATATAAATTGGTAAAAAAGAAAAGATTTTTATTACTATTAGTATTTTAAACATGAGAAACATCAAAAAGCGATAATAAGATGAAATTATACAGGGTTTTTTTGTTAATATACGCACACATTTGCAAAGAAGGTTCAGAATAAGTAATATCCCCTATATTAAATATGAAATTAAATATTAATGATGAAGAAAATTGAATTTGAAAAATAAATCAAACATTCTGTCCTTTTCATCTTTTAAATTCAAAATGCGTGGTAATCTAATATTTTACTACGAACGCGCACACATTCGTACGAGTTGCTCGGTCGGCAAAAACGTTGTAAATTGAATCGCACACAGAGGAGCGCGTAGTTATCGCCCAGAAATCACATTCAATTTGGGTTAATTTCAAATAAAAGTAGAAGCCTTATTTACTTGTATTTAAAGAAACTCGTATTTTCGAAAACTGCAATAATGGTATAATGTCATTATTTATATCTTTGAAGTTAAATATAAAATTTGGCTACTCTTAAAAATAACACTGTATTTAGTCCTCTCCGAATTAAGCGAAAGCCTGTTCCATGTACAGGCTGTAATTTTACCCTTTTAAATAATTATTTTTACACATTAGAATGATAACACGCCTTATGTGAGTGTGCTATGTTAAACAACTTGTTTGTTTGATAACAAAGATTTCTATGTATGCAAGTTGCGGCACGTAAGTCTAGCGCTGAACTAAACGTGGAGGGGACGCGCAAGAATGCAACTGGAGAGCCAATCAATACGCGCGAACGATGCGCTCGAGCCAATCAGCGCGACTTATGCGCAATGACGGTCACCGCTAGACTTTCGTGCCGCTACTTATACTTCTAGATAGACCTACACTTATCTTGTGTGCATAGTACCTCCATAATAATATTGTAATATCAAGCGCCATCATATTAGGTATATAATTCAGTTTTCATAGATTAAACATTGCTCATGGGGGGTATATTTAGTCTGAAAATGCCCTGTTGTGCCGACGCAAACGAATAAAACAGTTTTTTATTTCTTTATAAAATTCACTGAAAGTCTATGCTTTGACATTTTTAAAACTAAATGTGCCTTATATGTGTTTGTGTGAATCGGTTTAAGTGTAAATTTATGCTCCAATGTGTTTGTGTGTGTATTTTTATTTAATTTCTTAATTTTCGTGAGTAAAATTATACAGTTTTATAAATATCTTTTATTATATTTAAACAATTTTTTGTAATTTTTTGGATGGGAACAAAGTTAATGTAAATGTCAATTATAAAAACAAGATTGATTGTTTTAGGTACATAAAAATATGAATAAAACTTACATTGTACTACTTGAAAATTCCACCTTAATACGCACAATACTAAAATATTTAAGTGTGCTCTAATTTGTGTTCATGGTGAAGATGTTTTTATATCCACAGACCGAAAATTTTGAAAATAGTCATAATTATTACTCATTGCATAAAATATAATACATTTTATAATTTTACCTACTTTTTTATAAAATTTATTTTATTTTATGTAATTTTTTGCTTTAAAATTATAATTTTGTTAATATTTTTGTACTCTTATTTTTATAGCAAAAGACTGGCAGAATACACTGTGCCTTTGCTTAATGTATTAGGATTTAAAAACTATTGTTAAAAAAAAATACATTTAAATCTAATGATAATCTACCAACTAATAACTTTATTACGCACATATTGTTGTGTATTTTGATATATTATTATTTTTTATTTAACGAATAACATAAAATGTGCATTAGGTAAATATTTAGTATCACAATTTAATACGCTAGAAAGAGACGGCCAATATTGTCTTATCTTTATGTTTCTATAAACGATATACTCATTATATGCCAATACTAAAATATGACTTAAAAACTAATATATAAAATTTACAATATTACTTAAAAACTTGATTTGGCCAGTGTGTTACCTCATAACTTTTTTCTGGCTGAACCGATTTCGATGATTCTTTTTATTCGAAAGCTGGTCACATGTGGTCCCATATAAATTTGATCAAGGTTTTTGAGCTATTCTTAATTATTTATATTGAAGTCGGTTATACAAAATTTTTAATTTTAAATTAATGTATGTCTAACGTATTATACAAACCGTCCTTAAATTGGTAACTAACGTAAGATGTGCTTTTGACATATTACTATCGTCTTAAGAATGTAGGTATACTTGGATATTGCTTTATTCATATGGTGTTGGAAGAGTATTTTTAATTATAAAATTATAAAAAACTTAGTTTAAAGAAAAAATAGTTACATGCTTTAACAGCGTCACTTACACGTAGGGTTGCCAGTTTTTGTTTTAAGTTTTTAAGTGCTTTTACAGGAATGTCGAGTACGCGCGATATTGCCTTGTCCTCTTTCAAAGATTTCAAATTAGGAGGCAATGCCAGTTATTATGTCTAAAAGTGAGGAATTCCGTTAAAATAAATGATGTCTGGCAGCCCTACCTACACGCAAAAATATATTGTTCTTGCCTACAAGCCTATCTTTGATTTTGACGGGAGTTGTGAAAGGCCACGTGAACTCCAAGCTACTTCAAGGCCTCGCATAATTTCATGTTTAAAAGACAGTTTTTTAAAGTTATTCTTACTGTAAAACAATATCACTCATATTATTCTCAATAATGATATCTTGATTTAGGCTAATTAACTCTACAACTTAATTTGTTAAAATCTTGCAGCCAAAATCGTCTTTTTGGAGCATACTACGAGTATCGTTATTTTTATAAATACATTTCTGTGATACAATGCGTTTAATTCCATTGTTTTATTTTTCTTTAAAATAAGAATAACTTATGAACTTAAGTTTGAGTGGGAGAGATGATTATAAACTTAATTTTACCATAATTAACCTAAATACTTTTAATTATATTTTTTTTTATAAAACTGAAGTGACAAATGTACTTTATAGTCCACCTAATTGGTAAGTGGCTACTTCAGTCCATGGACATGTGTTGCCAACTTCAAACGAAGTGGGATACAGTCACACCGGAACCGGTTATACTGGCTCTGTATTAGTACAGCTATTTGTCGGCAGAAGTATGTAAGAGGATGGTACTTTCCCATACAGGCTAAAGGCCTAAAGGAGTTTTACCATCTAGAAAGTGAACATATAAGCCCTTATATTCTACCTGTCCCTATTTCCTCCCAGCCCCACTAGTCACAATAGAAAATACAGTACGGCTTAAGATGTATATATTCAGCTGTACTGTATTTTTTATATGTCGTTAGTTATTGGAGGATGTATTATACAAACCAATATGAACCTACTGACTGTATTTAGGTCTTAATTATTATGATGACTTTGCCATAATTCACAATACAGCATCAGGGTGCCAACTTTACTGTATTATACGATATATTATTCTAGTAAGTATTAATTTAACATAGATACCCTACTATCCTAGAAGTAAAGTAACTGTACAACTTTTAATATTTTTTTAATAGCACAGCACAAATGAATTGTAGAGATTGAACGTCTAATAATGTATATTTATCTAATTTTAATTTTTACTAAGAATTATATATATAAGTTTTGTACAGTTTTTTTAAGTACCTCCCTGAGAATTACAAAAGGTAGTATGTAATATATTGCAAAAAAGTTGGCTATCCTAATACTAGACGTGTACCTACACTGTACAATGGAAATACATATTTTGATAAGTACCATAGTATGAAATTAACCACCGCCTTGTATTATAATGATGTCAATTGCCATGAATGTTTCCTTTATTTATTTGAGTGGAAAATATGTATTTATAACTTTCGTGTGTTCATGTTATGTATAGGTTAAGTTAACTTATCAAATCAGTTACATTTCATTGTAGTGTTCAAAAATTTCACAATATTTCGCATGCCATTAGGAAGTTTCTGGTAGTTTTTTTTTTGCGACCGCTTACCACCCAGTAGATCGAGTCGATGATATTATCTCAAAAATATCCTATGGTTCTTATTTCCATCAGATCACTAATTTCATCGTTTTCACGATTTTGCATATACTTGGACATTTAAGACAACATTATTTTACATATATAAAACCGATAATGTGAAAGCAACCATTAGCTTTGTATCAAGTACCCGCCAAAACTCGGAAGAAATTTAATTTCAAGGGAAATTAAATTCTTTTCGCGCCAAGTATACGTATTAAATTTCTTTGTGGAAAAAAAAAACAGCAATGCAGTGTAACTGATTGTCCGTTGTGTTTGTAATTTGTTATTTTTTTTTATGTAAAGCTCCCCTGGTGAATTATTGTGTACAATTTTGTTGTTATTTAATTTCGCATAAATTATAAGTTCCTTTTAATTGAATATAAATGTCATTTTAATTGTGAAAAATTTAATTAAAATATTTAAATCTACCTTGTGTTGCCAAGTCGTAATAAATATGTTCATATTTATAAACTTGTTTTTTTTTTTATATATCCTAATGTGTTTTTTAAAATGTCAGAAGCACCAAAGCTGTCGATCGGACAGGATTTTTTTTTAATAAAACTGAAGTGACAAATGAACTTTTACAGTCTGACTGTAAATGATTAATGCAGTCCATGGACACCTGCTACTAACTTGAAACAAATAAATTTAGAGATAAATTGTCACATCTGAGGACTATGGAATATCTATCAACTAGTAATTTTAATGGCTCTGTAACCTTCAATCCGCGACAAGCACTGCTATTTGGCGGCAGAAATAGGTATAGTCCGTACGGATAAAGAATGGGATTAGAAATGGCGGCTCATCGAGCCGTACCGTCAGCATGTACACTATCAATAGCGAAAACCCGCTAATAACGGTATATCGTTATAACGTTAAATTATTCCGTTAATTGGAATTTTTTATTGATGTAAATATATTTGAAAATAAATGTAGTAGTCGTTACCCCATCTAGTGGGGAGACGCCATATACTTCTTTTACTTGTACGAGGCGAGAACCTTTTTTCCTCATCACGTGTTGATTCTTCGAACTAAGAAAGCATACTCGCCGAATATGGGGCATCTTTTTTAAATTCGTTTAAATATTACAGTAGGAAGAATTGATTAAATTTATGCGAATAATAACTTCAAATCAAATATCTTGGCATATAAAGACATCTAAGTAGTAGTAGTAATATATATATATATATATATATATATATATATATATATATTAAATCTTTTTGTTGGGATATAAATATATTAACCAAGGGCAAAAGGAATATTGTTAGAGTATAATGGTTACGGTAAAATAAGATTGTAAATATATGCAATATGTACGTAAAAAAAACCTACAAAACTAATATAGGTAACAGCCTATAAATTCTTCGTCTTGTTTTATTTCAGCGAATTTTACGTATCCATAAATGCACTACACTGCTCCAGTGTATGTTGACGAACTTTGACATCTCCTTTAAACATATTGTTTTTCTCACATATGCCGGTTTCGTCGCGAAGTTTTCCTTGCCTGTTAAAGTAAGTGATTATTTATATTTTTTACTTGATTGTAAAGCATGTGGTAATTGTCACGAACAAGTTCTGTACTCGCATACTGTGAAGCTTATGACAATCATTTATGAACTGCAGCGATCAAATAAATAATATCTTGTAAATAATTTTTAAATTTCTGTGATAACGAGCAAACATGTTTTCTTTCTTAGCATAAAATATATCCGAAAACAAAACTGTCGTGGGATTTCAGAGCACTGAAGTGTAAGTAACGTCTCTGTGTAGTCGTATATGACCTACTGAAAGATTTTCATACTAGGTATTTGATAAAATTTAATACCTAGTAAAATAAAAAATGATATAAAACTTAAAGTGTATAGAAAATACACGTGTGTTTTATATTTGTTTATAGCACAATACACTTTTTGTTTTATTACAGTGAAAACTTCTTTAGAACCCTTGTTATTTGAAACCTAATAAAACGAATAACGACAACAAACATATACATCTTTTGGATTTAGCTTACGAGAGAATTGAGATTGAATACAGTAAACAGTGTTTATTATTATTGCAGTTTACTTTCCTTAAAGTTTTACTTCTACCGCGTCTGAACTGCACACATGTGTTTTTTCTAATTGACAAACAAATGATGTTTTACAAATGAAAAATAAAAATATTATTAAAATACAACAATCCGAGAATAGTTTATTCTTTGGAACAATCTATTCAATTTACACAAAGAAGACTTGTCCATTTTTGTAGTCTTTCTTACATAAATATTTTTTAATAACTAGTAATTTATACGTATTTTATAAGGCAACATTCTCTTCAATGCTATGTCTGGTGGTAGGGATGTGCAAGGGAAAAAATACATCGATATATATAGAATCGATATCTTGAAACAGTATCGATGTATATCGTGTGATAAGTATCAATATATCGTCATAATTTGCATAATGTAAGGATAAAGCCCAAAATTTAATATTACTGATGGTTAGATGACGCGACGAAAAAAGAAACTATACGAAATAAATGCTATTGTACCCCTTTTGTTGTTTCAAGTTTTGTCCATTAATACAACATTTTAAAATATATCCAAATGAAGAGGTCTATGCTCGGGATTTCTCTGCTAAACTTAGAAAAGAGGATATCCGTAGAAGAAATAGAGTGACCGACTTGTGTGACTTGACTTGAGTGACTTGTGAAGGGCTGTAATGATGATGATAATGACACGAATTTGATACTCCAAAATAAATATCGGTATATCGCCATTAATAATATCAACGATATATTATGTATCTATATTTTTATGAGAAAATATTGAAATTTTGATATATCGATATTTTTAGCCTAAGTCTACCTTGTGTCTGTTGTGTCAGCGACGCGTGAGTGTTTCTATATAGTTTATGTGTAAGATAGGGATGAGCAAAGGGAAAAAAATATATCGATATATATATTGAATCGATATTTTTGTTCAGTATCGATATATGTCGTGTGATAAATCGATACATCGTCATCATTCGCATGATTTAAAGATAAGATCCAAATTTTATGTTACTGACAATTGGATGACGGAAAAACACGACAACCAACCACACTTTTGTACCTCCTTTTGTTGTTACATGTTTTGTCATTTATACAACATTTTAAAATATATCGACATTGATACCGCGCATTGATATCGCGATTTAAATTATCGATGATATATATCGATATGTTTATTAAATATTGATATTTCGATATGTCGATATTTTTTGCGCAAGCCTAGTGTCAGATGTCAGCGTTAGCTTGCTACATATATATTTATCTATGGTCAGCGTCAGCTGCTGTCGTCACGACAGTATCCGTATCGTGTAGTCAGGGTGTGATTATAGTTATAGTCTTTTAAGTTGATAAGTTGATCGTTGATTCATTACATTTCATTTTATTACAGTGTATATCGCGTTCCTTAACAATGTTTATGTTGATAAGAAAGTTTTTTATTTGTGTTTACATTTAAATTAATTACGACTAAATACATAAAGACATGTCAATAAAAATTAACACCACACCGAAAATGACGCTTTTGATTTACACCTGTGTTTTGTTAGTTACTTTATTTATCAAGGAAAGTTCGCTGCGATCAATCGAAGTTGATGAGCCATTTCTTCAGGCCCCTAAGTACACAAACTACGATGAGTTAGTCAAACTTCTAGACAAGTTAGAAAAAACGTATCCGGAACTGGCGAAAGTGTATTCGATAGGGAAATCTGTTGAAGGACGGAAATTGTTAGTGCTGCAGATTAGTGAGGATGTAAAGAAAACACACCCAGAACGACCAGCTTTCAAGTATGTTGCAAACATGCATGGTGATGAATCAGTGGGGCGGCAATTGATGGTTTTTTTGGGACAATACCTACTCATAAATTACGGCAAAGATGACAGGGTGACGCGGCTTGTGAATACTACAGATATTCATTTGATGCCTTCCTTGAATCCTGATGGTTTTGAAGAGAGTAAAGTAAGTAGATTTTTATACCTACAATGTAAAAATGTAATTTTATTTAAAGCCATTTTTTTAACATTAGAAAATTAAGTGAGGTGATCACTACCAAGCTATTTCTAATTTGTTTTGAGTTGTTAGTTGTGGAAACAACTAACAGCTCCATTTGTAACACTTGATAACATATGATTGTAAGCTGTTAGTTTTTTGAAAAAAAAAAGTACCACTGAGTTTCTTGCTGGTTCTTTGTAGGACACAGGTTTTTTTCTAAATTAGTGGTAAATTTAACAAAGAGTGACTTTCAATAAGTATTATTTATATTCTAGTAAATGCTTACTAGCACATTTCTAAGTGACAGCAGTTTAATGGTACAGTTTGAATTGCAAACTCAGAAAGTCCTGGTTTCAAAATCTCCATTCGACTACTTTGGTGAATCGCTCTTATCACAAGCATTTTTAAACTTACTTAGTGGTTAACGGGACTGTCATTAATATTAATAATTATTATATTAATAATAATTAAATCCACATTAATAGTATTACTAGTATTCTTTTTTTTTTCAATGCTCGAATGTGTACAATCCCAATTTTGTAAAACAAAAATTGGGAACGTAATATTTATATTGATAGTTTAGTCGTAGTGTAAGAATAATCTCTACTCCATATTTTCCTAATAAGAGGTAGAAAAAAAAACTGCAGTTGCTAACGCAGCTGTAAAGCGTGGCAACTATGGCAAATATCTCCTTTATGAGCCATTTTAGTGGTCTATGTCAATCAGTGGACTTTGATATGCTATAATGAATGAATATTTATATTGATATATCATCATCATCACCAGCCTGCAGCATTACCAGCCTGCAGCATTACCAGCCTGCAGCATTACACTTGTATATAGTTTATTGATAATATTACACCGGACATCCTTTTTACTAGAAACGAGGCATTCCATCGTAATCCTTGGGGTTGACAATGCATCTGCATTTTGATTCTTAATCAAAGATATCTGTCAATGTCTATGGGTCCACAGCATCCAGTTACCATCATTAAATTATCATTATGAAATATAAAATATACTTATAATATAAAATAATAATTCAACCTTTTTCTGTATTACTTAGTTTAGTGTTCTCCTTATCAATTGTTGTGTGGTACTTACAGTTAAAGACCTAACTTATGTTGATGCACTGTCTGTAGGGAATGTCACAGGTCATTGAATAATAAGATAAGAATATGAATTGCATCTCTCAATATAAGTTGCTTTGACTACATTGTAGTTATAGATTACTCTTTACGATAATAATTTTTATTTGTGGGATTATGATGATTAACATTTTCAAATACATGGCACCTATTGGCATGATTCCAAACAGTGGCTTAGTAAGGAATTGGAAAAACATAGTATAACTTAAAAGTTTTATGAACTCTGTTTAAAATTTATATGGGATTAGCAAAATCGATGAACTAATGTTGAACATCACAATAGAAATTTTGGTGGCACAGTTACAATCTCCCCAGCAGTGCCAGATTGGCTACTTGCAGTAAGTCTTCGATGTATATCTGGTACAGAACTAAAGAGAAGAAAAGAGAGAGTTTTAAGTCAGGGTGACTAAGAATTTTGGGGATTTTATCCCCAAAATTCTTCTTCACCACTTTGGAAAACATTTTTAAGCTACTGGACGGAAAAGGATACGGTAGCAACATCAATTCAACATTCAGTTTCCTGACAATAAAATTACTATAGCAGAATTGCTGAAGACTTTGACACTATGCTCAATGATCCCAGTAGTATCTCCCGATGTTAGGTTTTAAGATGAACATAGAAAAGGCAGATTTGAGTTAGTTAATGGGAACACTTTTTGAACACAAAATGTCATAAGTCCAGATGTTAGACCAGGTGACCAATCGACAGACCCAACTTGGCTATGCAGCAATCAATAAATTTTCACCCATCTTCTCATCACATATTCCTCAAAATCTTAAAAAAAAAGTATTTTACTTATACTTTTTTTTACATGTACACACAGTATGTTACACAGTACATGTTTCCAGTGATGATATATAGTTTTATTTGGTCTTTCACTGCTGGCTGTATGAGGAATTTTACCACCTAAATAAGACCAAGATTGAAATGAAAGAAAAAAATTTGGATGTGGAAGCAATTTCCAAAATTTAAGTTATAAATAAAGTCAATTTTTTCACATATCAGATTTTTTACAAAAATTATCGAATATTTGGTTTTCGTTACAAAAACTCTACATAAAAAAAATGTACATTCTACCACATACTAATTAAGAATCCAGGTGGAACTGTTGTGCAAACATGGATACTTTATGTTACCGACACAGCGCACCATAACAGGGAACCGTAGTTGCTGTGTCGGGTAGCGGCAATCGGACACAGTCGTCGGTTGCTACTTCTGCACACTGGTAACAATTCGTCGCTTGTTTTCCGTCAGTTTCACCTTGGATGTCGATTGAGAAACATTACCTTACCGCAACACTTTAGATGGATGTTACACTATAACAGCAAACCATTTTATTTAAAATTATTTCAGGAAGGAGAGTGTGAGTCTTTACAAGAACCCAATGGTCGGACCAATGCCAAAGGGGTAGACCTGAACCGTGACTTCCCTGATCAGTTTGACCGCAACCGGTCCAACGACGATGCTTATCTATTCGGAGGGCGGCAGCCAGAGACTGCGGCTCTCATGCGTTGGGTGCTGAAGAAGCAGTTCGTGCTTTCTGGCAACTTGCATGGAGGTGCTATTGTTGCCAGCTATCCATATGATGATTCTAGGTGAATTCCCAAAACTTATTTCTTTCTCGCTCACATAACAATGCTCAATAATGGTAGACTAGGAATTTAGTTACACTATTAATAATTACATTATAGGGGTTTTCATTAATGCAACTGCTTATAAACATAACATAACATAAACACTTACGCTTGTTACCCAAAGGCAGAGGCTACGGACTTTAATTTGGCATGATCCTGACAAGTCCCTGTCACCTCCTTTATGTCTATATACCTATGCATATTCTCGTCGGCTATGATTACTTAACTACGTATCGAAACTTAATTTGACCAATCTTCGATATATAGCTAATTTAGTCAATTAACTTCTGACTATGGTGTCCCTTGCAGACTGTAACTCTCACTTCTATAGCATAAAAAACAAGGGCCAAAAAATGGTTGAAAAAAATGATTGCGTCTAGCAATAACTTATATATAAAATGAGTTTAATTTTATTTTTATTATTTATCACATAAAAATGTATTTTAATTAAGGCCCAGAAAAAAAAACATACATTTTTGGAAATATCAAATGACTTTAATATACACCAAGTAAATGGCAACACTTGAATCACTATTCAAGTGTTGCCACTATATTCATACTATTTTCATATACACTTTGTAAGACTGCCAACACAACATACAAACACAAAACATTTTATAGGAAGTTATTATTAGTAATAATTATGCTATCAGTAATAATAAAAATAAAGGTGATATGGTTCAAAATAAGTCTCTTAAAAGAACTTCCTGCAATAATACATTATCTCATCATGAGATAATGTAGATGCCTACGGGCCCCAGCAACCACTTACCATCAGGTGGACTGTGTGTTCGTTTGTCACCCTATCCTATAAAAAAAAAACCTTTAGCTCAATAGTGATTTCGATTTTAAAGATGAACACTTCAATATTATTTATATACAGTTTAAGGCATTTATTCTTTAAAAAGAATAAGAATAATACAATAAAGAATACAATTCACTTATCATGAGAAATAACAAATTGATATTAGATACTACGTGAACTTATGAACAACGGTAGGTACTTGTAAATGATCTATTGTGTAGTGTATATAGAGGGATATGTATGAATGTTAAATACTGTAAGATTTCTTGTTAAACCGTTACTGTTTTTCAGCACTGGAAAAGATTGTTGCGAAGAAAGCCGGTCTCCAGATGACGCGTTGTTCAAGCACCTTGCTACTGTGTACGCGTCGAAAAACGCCGACATGAAACGAGGGAACTCCTGCAAACCGGATAATTTTAAAGATGGTATCACCAATGGCGCTTTTTGGTATTCTGTTCAAGGTACATTCTATTTTCATTTAAATTGATGCAAATAAAGAAAAAACGAAACGGTGAAACCTTTAGAAAAGAAGACCGAGATAATAGGAAACATTGTATACTGTATTCTATCTTATTCTCCCGCGAGCTAAATCCTATAGATGTATATGTTTGTCTCTTTTTAGTATTACTTTTTTCTTGCATCGAGTTTCAAATCACAATAATTCTAAAGAAGTCTTCACTTCAAAAAGAAGATATATTTTGTTACACTAAGACAGTGGGATTTAAATACAGTTCGTTACCTTTACAACCTATTAAGCTCGACTGCCTAGACCTAGCCTATAGATTGCCTTGTGGGATAGATCCTAGACAAATAATATCTTCACTCCTCCAAAAAATATATATTTTTAACTTTAACAGAAGGACTGTTACAAATATAAGTTAAAATATGTAGCGAAGGAAAAATAAATAATTAGATGTATGAAAAGATATTTGAGATAGGAAGCCGAGAATAAGTTGTGGCGCTTTAAAAGAACCGTTACTAAGGCGGTGCAAGCGTAAGGTCGTTTAAATGCGGTCTGCCGATAAAAACGAAGGCGCCCTCACTGCCACGAAGGCAGCTCGAACGGAGCCAAGTATTGCCGACCCCAACCGACACGAACATCGCGTCGGCGCATACGCCATTCAGTAAACATACTAAAAAAATGTCAAAAATTGATTTTGTCACAGCCTCATAGGGGGATATTTGCAACAGTTGCCATGTTTGGCAAGCGGGTTGGCAACCCCAGTTTTTATTTTATTGCTGCTTCCCATCTGGTTTGCTTCCCTCTGTCGCCTCTTACGACCTCCATGGGATGATATGTAAGTAAATAAAATGAGAACATCATCAATGTAGTCGAAGTCAATTAAATGCGCATTATTAAGGATAACTCAAAAACTCCTGGTCAGATCTTGATTATATTTATATGGGACCACATGAGAAGCTTTAGCTTTCAAAAAAAAGAATCAAAAAAATTGGTTCACCTAGAACAAAGTTCTGAGGTAACATACATAAAAAAAATACGGACAAATTTAGAACCTCCTCTTTTTTTAAGTAGGTTGAAAAATCCATAAAGAAGCTTACATATTTCAGTGGTCCATGTTAATATTTGAACTGTGTTGTGGGGGTGTAAGCGAATCTACTAAAGAAACTTCCCGTAGTAACCCGTGGGTTTTGTGCAAGGCGACAGAGAGAAACTGGAACAGGAGATTGGTGGCAGCATCTTCCTGATATCAACTCAAAGTAATAAATGATTGTAGATACCTATCCGCTTGCTAAGCGTGTCAACTATATCAAATATCACTATTATGATCTATTAGGTAGGTGTGTGTTGAATGAATGAATTAATTAATTTCTTTATTTTGCAAATATGGGTGATACAGAATGTGGTGACAAACTGACAAATATATAATATAGATTCCACCATATTTTATCAGAACTATTTTTTTTTTTCAATTTACTTAGATATGTCATTGACAACAAATATCGCATTAGATTAACAAATATAAAAAAGACTCTTCAAATTATATTTAAGTCTAATAAGTCAATCGATACATTAATATCACTATTATTTAATTATTATAAGCCATAGTCAAATTAATTACAAAGTATAAATTTTAACATAACATTTTGTCCATTAAAAATTCATTAATATTATAGTACACCTTGTCTGCTAAAAAGTTTCGTAGCCTTGTCTTAAATAATGAAGTGTTGAGATCCCTCCAACACTTGGGTAATTTGTTGTAAATAGCCGGCCCCATAAAGCAGACACTGTTGCATATTAGTGCTGGTTTTCCCTTAGGAATGTAAACGTTTCTGTTTCTTGGGGCACGGTATGCCAGGCACTTAAAACGGTTCTGGTTCGACTTTACAAAGACTGCCATCTCTGATATATATATATATATACTAGCTGTGCCCCGCGGTTTCACCCGCGTCATCACGTGTCTGAGGTGCGCGACATGACCTAGTTCAAGCAAGAGTCGTTCGCGCGCCCAGCCTAGTATTGAATTATTTTAATTTTACATTATTTTTTAAACTATCCGTCCAAATAACATGGTATAAAGAACAAAGTTTATCTTCATAAAATTGTCTTGATGATGAAGTAACTTTCGTTCATAAGAATAAAAAGGCCATGCCTAATAATAACGCTCATAAATCACTTTTAAATTTTCAATATTTTTTTTGTCACAAAATACCTAATTATGGCTTATGTATAAGAAATAGACATATGGTATTGCGGACTTTTTTTTAGACGGAGTAAAGATCCATATTTTTCTAGAACATTGTATTTACGTATCCCTAACGATATCACCAGCGTACGCGGATAAATCATTTCGTAAGTGCTTTTTCTTCTAACTTGCTTAACAAATATCCATATTTAAGGCTAGCTGAGTTATATAGCTTAATGCTAGATAGCCTATACTATTCCACATGAATCTGGCTATAATATACAAAAAGAATTTTTCAAATCGGACTGGTAGTTCCAGAGATTAGCGCGTTTAAACGAACAAAAAAAAAACTCTTCCGCTTTATTATATTAGTATAGATATACACAAGGTAGAGTTAATATTTTATATTGTTAATATTTTATATTGTTCAGCTTTGATAGGCTGTAATTATGATGATGATGATGTCCAATATTTGAAAAATGCACTTATGGTATCGCAAGGTTTCTTATTAGTTCTTCTCAGGGCAGTATTTTTATGAACCAGTGATAATTACTTCTAATCTATGTTAAATATTTATTTCGATAGTTTGTCCTGACACGGGCGATATTTTTGACGCAAGAATTCTAAATTTAGCACAGATTCTATGTATTACAAATTACAAACTTCAAGAATATGCAGTTATTAAGTTGTATTTCAATTTCGGGGTTTAATTTTACGGGGTAAATTAGGCACTGCAAAAAAATTCAGGGCCTAGCAATAGGCGATGGAAAAAAGGCAGTTGAATTTAGTTTACGACGGGCTCTTTTCTACAACTCCACGTCTAAGCGCGTATTTTGGGTGTGGACAGAAATTTTGTGATTATTCAAGCTATGAAATCTCCTTGATAAAGTTCAGCAGTCCTTTGATGTTGTCATCAACTCCTTGGAGTGATCTCGATGTTCCGAGATGTTTAGACCTCGCCAGTAATACGAGAGGCGCCGTTACCTCCTCCCTCATACATGCCCTGCATGGGGACTGTTTGTTACACCTATAGTTGATAAATGTTTGTTAAAAGAACCTCGCAACATTTTTATTACGGTACCTATATGGTAGGGATAGGATTTTAAATACTCAAGAACTCGTGAAAACGGAAAACATTTGTCTTTTTTCCAGGTGGTATGCAGGACTTCAACTATGTCTATTCCAATTGTTTCGAAGTTACCTTCGAGCTGTCTTGCTGCAAGTACCCATTCGCGAGTCAGCTACCGGAGTACTGGGAAACGAACCGGGATTCACTGATAGCCTTTATAGAACAGACCCATATTGGTGTTAAGGGTTTTGTTTTCGACGAGGATGGGTCACCTGTTAAGGTAAGAAACACATTTTTGACTCAGTTTAATTTATCAGTAAAAATATATTAAACAATTTGTGTATACATAATTTTTAAAATAAAATGGTCTTTCTGCTATAGGGTAATGTAACATGATGTACCATTGTGTGAGTAAAAGACTCAACTATTTAAACCAGGGTTTCTCAACCTTTTTTTGACTAGGGACCACTTTGATTTTTTCATAGTTAGTAGGGACCACACAAGGTGAAAGAAATAACTGTGTTAATCTAACAATAAATCATAATCACAATTTTTAACATAATTGTATAATAAACTGAAAAAAAAACCTGTAAAAGCTAGTAGGTACTTACTAACTTGACACGCAGTGTTGTACTGCTCGTGTAACGGGAAAATAATAAATGTGTTATTTAAAACAATTAGGTAGGTAAAATATTAAATCTATTGTGGACCATATTAAACTCTTGAGGACCACTGGTTGGGAATCACTGATTTAAACTGTATAATAAAAAAAAATTCATCCTTGTACAAAGGACCAAGAGCATCCTTGGATGGAGGACATTGTTCAATATGAAATAGATTAAAGCTGAAAGACAGAGTGGGAAATTGTGTGATAAGACAAAAAAGTGTGGTTTGCAAGATGTTGTGACTAGGATTAAGAAAAGAATGCTTCGGTTTAGATATGTAGAAAGAATGAATGAGGATAGAGTGACAAATCTATGTTGCAGAAGTAAGAGACAGAGTCGGCAAGGGACGCTCTCGATGGAAGTTTATCAAATAAATTGGCGATATATTGAAGATGGGCTAAATTAAGAGTACCCTTAATCGACAAATGTGTATGCGTAAGGTATGTGGATGTGAAAGAAGCGAGAGAGATGTGTCAGGTAACATAAAGACTCACGCCTGTCACGCAGAGGGGTAGGCAGATACTACGGACTTCCATTTTTCACAATCCTGGCACACCTCTCTCGCCTCCACATCCATATACCTACGCATACATGCACGTCGGTTAAGGGTTTTTTTTTATAGGATAAGGGTGACAAACGAGCACACAGTCCACCTGATGGTAAGTGGTTGCTGCGGCCCATAGACATCTACATCTATCCTCGTTTGCGAATCAAAATGCAGATGCGTTGTCACCCGTGAGGACTAAGATGGAATGCCTCATTTCCAGTAAAATGGGTCTTCGGATCCCTACACTCACCATACAAAACACAGACCCATTCGTGGCCCATTTGGCCTATTTTCAATATATCGCCAATTTGGTCGATAAACTTTCACCTAGGGCGTGCCTTCCTGACTCTGCAGTTCAATTCTGCAACATAAATTTTCTTTGTCACTCTTTAAGAATTTATTCTTTCTACATGACCAAACCATCGAAGCATTCCTTTCTTAATCCTGGTCATAACATATCTTACAAACCACACTCTTCCCATATCATACAATTTTTCACCCTGTCATTAACATACTCCTTAATCATCATGTGTCACAATTGTACGAAATTAAAATCAGTAGTCTCTGCCTACCTCTCTGGGTAACGGGCGTGAGAGTTTATATATGTATATGAATATAAATTGCCTAGAGATTTACAAGTTTTGGGATCAACTACTATTACCAAGATAAATTGTTTTTTTTTTACAGGATGCTCAAATTATCGTCGATGGCATCAAACACTCGGTGAAGACTACTGAACATGGTGCCTATTGGAGATTACTCTTACCTGGGGAATACAACATCACTACCATAGCTTCCGGGTAAGTGATTGTGATTAAATGACTGTGATTTGTGTAACAGGTGCACAAAAAGTAATTGCAATAACATGTTTGGTTGATTGATATACCAATGAACAATAAAGGTGTTTGATAAATTAATGTATACAATTGATATTTTTCGCAATCAAACGTAACAGTTATCTTAACTATAGCATTGTTGCATATGTTATCGATTGTGTAATATTTGAATGACTTGACCGATTGAGGATATATTCATACAATATTTGTTTTGTCGAGGCGATGGTTCATAGCTATGATGTTTTTTTTTTATAGGAGAGGGGGCAAACGAGCATGCGGCTCACCTGATGGTAAGTGACTACCGCCGCCCATGAACAACCGCAACACCAAGGGAATTGCAGATGCGTTGCCGGCCTTTTAAAAAGGTGTAAGCTCATTTCTTGAAAGTTCCTAAGTCGTATCGGTCCGGAAAATTCGCTGGTAGTAATTGATTCCACAAGGAAGTTGTGCGAGGGAGAAAACTTCTTCTAAATCGCACAGTGGTGGACCGCCAATCATCCAAATGGTATGGATGGTAACGCGAGTTTTGTCGCGATGTGCGATGGTAAAATTGAGCGGCTGGAATTAGTCCGAACAATTCCTCAGAGCACTCCCCGTGGTCCGATAAGTGGCATTATATTCTAATTATTAAAATATCCTTCATTTATAGACTAAAAGATTCGTATTCACAATAGTATGTTAAGTTGATTTAGTGCCATAAAAAAATCACCAAATCTGAACCCAATAGGTGGTCAGTCAGTAAATTTAATAAGAGTTTATATTTTTCAGTTACATACCCCCCAAGTCCGTGACGGTCACCGTGACTGAAGACGTCCCAGTAACAGTTAACTTCACTGTCCACCGTCGCTCACGTTCTCTCACCGATGGTAAGTCTGGACTACTCCGTCATGACGAAAACTCTGGAGTCACTCTCACACACTGCTGGGTTTTAATTGTCAATCTTGTACTGGTACTTGTAGTTAAGTCATAAAAATAATTGTAATTCTTTGGGAGGGACTTCCATCATGACTACTATACTTCTTCTGTAATAACTATTCCTTCTAAATACGATAACATTCTTTTGATTCGAAGGAAAGTAATCTATTTGTCTTGTATCTAATTGTATATATTTGTATATTAGGTCATATCCGGCTCGAAAGACCAGAATGGTTATAGGTTAGAACCATTATACTATAACTATGGTCTAACAAAAATTATTAAGCAATTTTAGGTGGTGGGTAAAATGTACAGAGAGTTGAACATTATTTATTTATATTTACCTGTAATATAAATTAAATTTATACTAACTATTTGCTATTTATTAATCATAAAAATTGTTTTAAATCTTTGTAATTGGAAAAGAGTGCACAAAAATGTATTACAGAAAATTTATCGTCTTTTAAGCTATTGTGGAATTAATGGATATTTGAGTTATGCCAGTGTTAAATATAGATTTTTAATTTAAATCAAGATATTCAAAAAAGATGGTAGTGACTTGTATCACTAATAAAAAGATATATCACAATTACCCTCGGTGCGCAGGAATTACATCCTTTGATTCCTCCCGCTCCTTTTCACCATCGAACAATCAGACGGTCGGCGGGTCTTCACCCCTTTGTTGTCGATATTCCACGCATTACAACCAAACGGTTTGCTTCATTTTTTGTATACGCGTACAGCAAAGGAGTGGAATAATTTGCCGGCGTCTGTCTTTCCGTCCAATCTGGGCTTCTTCAAGGTAAGACTGAATAGGCCCTTGTAACGCTAAAACGGTGTGATTTACCATTTAAAGCTTTATTACCACTTACCACCAGATGGGATTGTGGCCAAGCTCTGGCCACAATCTTATGTCTGTGACTTATTTTGTGAATATTATGTTCAATATGCATCAGAATGTATAAATTTCTGTGAGCAAGAGAACGCTTGTTATGTTTAATTACTGTAATTGATTCTTAAATTTTTACAAACAACTTCCATATCATAATGTTATAATGTAAGGGCAAAGTGTTTTTTTGTATGCGTACACGCGTAAAACATATACAGGGTTATTTTTCAAAGACTAGCCAAATTTAATAATTAAGTTCAAAATATAAATACTGATATACACTTTTGCAGCTTTTAAAAATACGCGTAAATGAGGTTTCTACATTTATTTGAAAATATCCGAAATTAAATATAATTTATGGGCAATAACTATAGCATACGCACCCGCTCGTGTGTGTACGAGTCAATGCACGAAGGTTTTTCTACTATTTACTTTCTTAATGACACTTCATACTTTAAACGGGCTTAGGACCGTCATAATAAATAAAATTAAAAAAAATTACATTTCAACGACGTATGGGATGGATGCTATGCTAAAAAAAGTTATGCACTTCTCGAATTAAATATTTTTTTACTCCCATACAAAAGAGTTCGAAATACATGTTTAGACTAGAAATCTAGGGAAAGAGATGGAGAATAAATATAAACAATTAGTTGTAGAAAAGATAGTTGAGCTAGGAAGCCGATGATAGGTTGACGTGATTTAAATAATTCAGGTGGCGCGAGCGTATCGTCTAGCGCTGAGGGTGTTTAAAAGCTGACTGGCCGGTAAAAACGAAGACAGTGACAGTGCGAATGGTGCCGAGCATTGCTGACCTCAAACGACACGGACATCGCGTCGGCACGTATGCCGTTCAATAAACTTAATCAAAACTGACAGAAATTGCATATGACCACAGACATAACCGATGACTGTCTTTATTTTAGCATATTTAAAAAAAATTGGAATCGAGTATTTACAACTATTAACAATTTAAAACGGTTAACTTTTTACAACAACAAACTATTTACAACTTAAATATGTAATCACTTAAAATAACACTAACCATTCACAAAAATGTATTTCGAGGTGGACCATCGTTATTATTCAGTGCTTGCACGTGTTGCTAATGTAATGGGTGATATCCAGAAATATTCAGTAGTCTCCACACGTTATACTGGCTAATTCTCGAGCTGCATAATTGGTGCTAGCGCGGGGGTTTCGCTCGAAAAACTAGATCACTTCGTTTTCGACAGCTGGGCTTATTACTGAATGTCCAATTCGAGCACTTCCATGTGACGGAATGGTGAACTGTCCAAAGTATTTAAAGTTGTACTCCGATTGGGTGAACACGTGTGTTATTTACTTGTCTTTGTAAATGCGGTCAAGACTCACTTTCTTATAATCTTTGCGCACCACGTAAACTATAATTGCTTAAAAGGTAACAATGTAACATCTTATAGTATTCGTGGTTCAATTATTTTCGTTACTAAATTAACCTACGAAATTTTAAAAATAGGACATTGGTACGTAATGAGGTCACGGTCAAGCGAACACTGTCGGCTAAGGCCGGGGGCCGGGTGAACGTACCTTACGGCTTACAGAAGGGAAAGGGCGGGGAGACGCGCTAAATCTGTAGCGAGGACTGAAGTAACCAAATGCTACCCACTGCTTCCGAATTGAAAACTCTCTTACGAATGTGTGCGTGCCAATAAAATAGTAGGCGCTACATACTTATGAATGACAATCAGTTAAAATAATGCGTTTCCACACATTTTGAATATAAAACATAAAAAGGACAAAATGTTAGAGGTTTTTTCTTATATATTTTTTTTTCATCATTCGCACATATTACCTGATCTGAACCTCCTTTGCAAATTTGGTCGGTTATTGCAAAATAACCCTGTATATTTGTATTGCACGAGGTATTAAGACCCCGATGGTTGTGTTGTAGGAATAATTTATAGGTGATCAGATAAATCAGTATTAAATTGTTGAAAATACTCTAATATGTTCAAAGCTCTTGCAACAAATAGTTTTAGGTTTAGCAACTAATATTTAATGCCTAACAAATCCTTAATAATTGTGAAGCGTCAGTAGCCTAATGGCAGGACGCGGACCGCGAACTCGAAAGGTAGTGGGTTCGAATCCGCCATTCGACTACTGTCGCGAACCACTTCTAACACAAGCATTTTAAGCTTAGCAGAAGTGGTTAAAGGGAATATTAATAATGTTTAATAACATTACTAGTATTTTAAAAAAAAAAAACTTTGACATAAATATATAAAATTGCTCTAGAATGAATGGTTCATCATCATCATCATTACAGCCTTTCACAAGTCCACTGCTAACATAGGCCTCCCCCAAAGAATGCCACAAAGCACGGTCCTGAGCCACCTGCATCCATCGACTTCCTGCATATCTTAACAGGTCGTCACTCCATCTAGTGGGGGGACGCCCTACACTTCGTCTGCCGGTACGAGGCCGCCACTCGAGAACCTTTTTTCCCCATTGGTTGTCAGTCCTTCGAGCTATATGGCCGGCCCATTGCCACTTAAGCTTACTTATCCGTTGGGCTATCTCAGTTACTCTGGCTCTACTGCGGATATCCTCACTTCTAAGCCTATCGTGCAGAGAAGCTCCGAGTATAGCCCTCTCCATAGCTCGCTGAACGACCTTGAGCTCCCTCATACGGCCAGCAGTAAAGGACTGCCACTTTAGCTAACTGATCCTTTACAGATATAATTAATGTAATATAATGTAACCAATGTAATAAAATGTAGTCGATACGAATATAATAAGCTACGTTTGCATGTAAAAAACTTGTGATTATTATCAGTATTTTAGATATTGTTGCATTTTCTGCAAGGTAGACTTTAAGATATTTAATTTGGAAAAATATGTTGAACCTAAAAGTCTTATACAACTTGTAAAAGCGCTGTGATTCGCGTTAAGTGCGTTATCAGAATCAGTATTCAAACGTATAGAAATAACTTTAATTGAGTAAACTCGACAATAGAAAAATATTAATTATATTTTTATTTGCAAATTGTATATGGTTGTAACTTTTGCATTGGCCGAGGAGTAAAAGTATTGTCGTAGACCCCGCTTTATCGATGCGCGTATTAATTAGAAGTAATATAACTACACACATGTTTACAGAAAGTAAACAACAGCTTACTAATAAATTCGAAAGAAACAAATCTTCGACAATTTGGTATGACATATTTGTGCGCCTAAATGTAATATAATATACATATGTATAGTTGCCCTAATTAGACCCATAATTTATAAATAATATAATTATTTTAATAAAAACTAGCAATAATTCTTTCTTTACAATAACAATAAGGCTGATTTTACATTTTGTTCGAGACTTGTCATTTTTTAATCTGTAGTATTTAGTCGAGGATGTAATAAAAAGTGTCTATACAAGCTATTCAAAAATGGTTTTAATTGGTTATCACATTTTGTAATTTATTTCTATGTTTTGTGTATTATTCAGGATTACATGGATGTTTTATGATTATTGGTAAAATAATAATAAATATACCTCTTCTTTGATTTTCGATGTGTACCAAGTATTTGGCCGTGTCAAATCTCCTTGCCACTAGGCCAAACTTCTAAGACAATGTGGAGTTCTTAAAAATTAACGTTACCGTTGTTTTATTGCAATTTAAGTCTAACGTTCGTTTTCATTAAGATACAAAACCTAAATTCCCAATTTAATATATAAAAACTATTATTTGTATGTTTGTTCGTTTTCTGTGTGTTCATCATATACAACTAATACGGTTGTGATGAAACCTTTGTGAAGGACAAAAAGACATTGCAACGTCTGCCTGGCGTATTATATATAATGTACGCCTCTGCCTAGTGATTGTAAACGCGATTGCTAATCTACCTAACCTAATCCCGGGTTTGAATCCCGGATCGGGCTAAAATCAACTATTGGCTTTTTCTGTTAAAAAATTGCTTTTAGGAATCGGGAAAGTGGCGGTGTTTCACCCCTGTGCCTCGAAAAGCACGTAAAGCCGTTGGTCCTGCGCCTGTCCTCTTTCCGGTTGTGTCCTATTACCATCCCATCGGACTATATGAGAGTGAGGGAATAGAGAGTGCACTGGGGGAGGCCTATGTTTAGTCAGTTCAGTTCAGTATGTAAGTTTTATACGTGGTAGAGCCATGCTGCAGCTATATTAGTAGTATAGATGTAGCACGAATGGGTCGGCTCGACTGGGGAAAGACCACGCTCTCACAGAATACCAGCGTAAAATGGCAGCTTAACACTGCTGTGTTTTGTATGGTGAGTGTAGGGATCCGAAGACCCATTTTACTGGAAAAGAGGCATTCCATCTTAGTCCTCACGGGTGACAACGCATCTGCATTTTGATTCGCAAACGATGATAGATGTAAATGCCTACGGGCCACAGTAACCACTTACCATCAGGTGGACTGTGTGCTCGTTTGTCACCCTCTCCTTTATTAAAAAAAAGCCGTGGACTTTTGATAGTCAGTGATGATGATGATTCTATCAAAATTCGAAAATCAGAGACAGAAATAGTTATTGTTTATAAATTTATTTACCTCATGTACTCCTGAATGGACACACTTATTACTGTTTTTATTTTTGTGGTGTCGGTCTCCTGTAACGCGCTGTTGATTTGCCCTTCTTTGTTCACTTTTTTGGCCTTCTATCCCACGTTTCCTTTTTCATTCCTTCCATTACATTTTGCAGCTGTACCAGGTGGTACGATGTATCGGTGAGTTATCTATTTCTCTTTGACATGCACAAAAAAATCGTGAAATAAGAGAAAGCAATGATATACGGGCTTAATTTCGGAATTATATCTTATAATTGTAATTACTTAAGTTAAGTAATAATCATCTCTATACCTGTCTCTTACTATTGTCATTGAATGAAAAGAGAGAGTGCAACTTTAAGTTTTTTTTTATTTGAAGTTGATTTTATAACGCCGATTGTGTGTGACATCGTATGAACACTGGTAATATAAAATACGCTTTCTTTAATTTCTCATTTCACGATTTTTTTTATTTATTTGTAAATACACTGTCACCTAAAATAACAAAGAAATACAAATATGGTATTGTAAATAGCACATTACATTTAAATAAAAAAAGGTGTTGGTACGTTTTCCTGGTTACTGTCGTGACTATAATATTCCTAGGTTGTGTAGGACTCCGTTTCTGCCTTCTTGGTAGGTATCACCTTTTTACCCATTTGTGCCGCCAACTAGCAGTGCTTGCACTGCAGTGTTCCGGTCTGCAGAGTATAGAGACCCAGTGTAGTTACAGGCTGTGAGGCATTCCATCTTAATCCTCAGCAGTGATAACGCATTTGTGTGCAGCTCTTTAATTTGAAATTTATATCTTTAAATGTTGCAATGTATATAAATTTGTTGGTTCAGAACAAGACGAAAAACTACGACCATATATGCAATAACACACACAGACAGACACACACACACACGCGCGCGCGCGCGCACGCACGTACGCATACACACACACATATATACATACAGTAAGTTTGAATACATTGTTCTTTCTCTACGCGTTTAAGCCATGCTACAGCTATATTATGCTTGTAGCACGAATGGCTCGGCTCGACCGGGGTAGGACCACGCTCTAACAGAATACCAGCGTAAAATAGCAGCTTAATTCTGCTGTGTTTTGATACCGGAGACCCTTTTTACTGGAAACGAGGCATTCATTTAAACTCCTTAAGGGTGACAACGCATCTGCATTTTGATTCCTAATCGAGGATAGATGTAGATGTCTATGGACCACAGTATCCACTTACAATCAGGTGGACTGTGTATTTGTTTGTCTCCCCAATTCTATAAAAAATGTAAATGTAACTTATTTAAGCTTATTTTTTATTTTATTTAAATATTCATATATTTGCCTCGATGATTACATTATACAAAACATTTCAAATATCCTTATATCATTTATTGATCATTATTCAAAATAAAATTTATACTAACAACCGAAGAAAGTATTAAAACCTTACGTGGGCACTTCAAAATTAAACCCCCCCCCCCCCCCCCAAAAAACCGCGGGCAAATCTTCAGAGCGTAACAGGCACCCGCGTCACAACATCGATGGCCTGTCTCCAGCCGACTTCGTGCACCACAACTACGTCAAGATGGAGAGCTACCTCAAGCATCTGCACGAAGCGTACCCGGACATCACTCGACTGAGCAGTATTGGCAAGTCTGTGGAGGGGAGGGAGTTGTACGTGCTGGAGATAACGAGAGATCCGGGCAGGCATATTCCTGGTGAGTCACAACTATATTCCAATGGTTTATTTTTCTTACACCCAAATATTCAAACGCTGATCAAATTTAAGTCAAAGTTACTGTGAAACCACGAGACTTAACATCTTAAAAACGAGTGAAATTTGAGACAAACAGCCAAATTCTAAACACTGTATTTGGCCATTAGTCTTATGAATCTACTAAGTAAAAAATAATTTAGATATAAAACATTTCCCTGAAAAGAATACGCAAATAAAATGGTTCGATTTTTTGAAAGATTTTTACGAGTTAGAGCCATTCAGCAGCTATGCGGGATATACATCGCTGCAGCAAGAATGGGTTGGCTCGACTGAGGTACAACTACGCTCTCACATTATACCAGGAGAATAATGCTGTTATGTTCCGTATGATGAGTGTAGAGAACTGGGTCAACGCATCTGCATTTTGGTTCTTAATCTAGAATAGATGTAGATGTCTATGGACCATAGCATCCTTGAATGAAATTACTTTTACGGATTTTATCGCGTTAAAAGTAATTTTATTCAATTTGTAGTGTTCGCGTAAATATAAGAAATTACCATACCATCCACTTAACATGAGGTGAACTATTAGCTCGCTGGTTACCATTATATCATAAAAAAAATTACCATATCACCATGTTGGAAAGGGCGGCATTATAAGAGCAGAACCGATACTACCCTCTAATGTAAATAAAATCGTAATATTGCATTTAAAAAAATACTTTAAAAGTCTTGCAAGTTCATCTTGGAGATAGTCTCGGTTTTGCGAACTAGTATACATTTTGACTTCCATAGGAGATTTAAACAAGCATAATATAAATAAATACCGCAGCGCTTTGGTGAAAGAAAAGAGAAATGAATCAGGAGATGGATTGCAGCATCTTCCTAAAAATGACATCTCAAATAAAAAAAAACTGCGCGCAAAAAACCCACCTGCCAAACGTGGCAACTATGGCAAACATCCCTCCTATAATGCTATCAATGAAGAAGGCCTATTTTCAGCTGTGGAATAAAATAAACAGTTTTAACTTTTGTTGAGTTCGACTAATCTTCATTGATTATTTATCAGCCATTGGTCGGTCCCCATCACCACGTCCCTAGCGTAGCTTTAATAGTGAATTCAACCTGTACGTTATTACTTACAATTGTACATTCCTTAGAGGAGGTACATATATAACAGATGAGTGTATGTATATTGAGTACTAGCTGTTCCCCGTGACCTCGTCCGCGTGGAATTTATTACGATTGGATTTCATGAGTTTTAAACTTTTGAGTTTCAATGGGTTTTAAACTGTTTTAATTATTTTTCTAAACTGTAAGTAGTTAACTTACTCCTTATAATATCAGCTAGCTGCCAGTGTTTCCATCCATCCGTAATCCAGCAATTTCGGAGATTACTGGAACAAAAAGACAGACAAAAATTTAAAAAATTATCCTTTTTTTATAAGTACCGTATTTAATTTCATATGCATTAAGTAAAAAGCTGTAATTTTAACATTACAAACAGGCACTACAATTTTATTTATTTATATAGATTTATTATAATGAAAAGAGCTCGTTTAGAATTCTTATAAAATATTACATCGAACAATTATTTTCACCAGGCAAACCCGAGTTCAAATACATCGCCAACATGCACGGAAATGAAGTTGTTGGTCGTGAACTATTGCTGTTGTTGGCCAAATATCTTTGCCAACAATATACTAACGGTGACGAGAGGATCCAAAGGATACTGAACACTACAAGAGTACATCTTATGCCCAGCATGAACCCAGACGGCTATGAGATGAGTAGAGAAAGTAAGTTAATACTATGTTATTATGTAATATTCAAAACTCAAATAACAAAAGTTTAACTCAAGGAGCTATTTTAGGACCTCTACTCTTTATAAAGTTACCTAACTATCTTAAGATGTAGTTTTTTTTTTTTGATATTCTATACTCATGACACGTGAACATTATTATAAGTGCACTTCCCTACATCAAGCAATGCTAACATTACTAATATTTACACTTGCAACAAATAGTATATTCGACTATACGCTGAATACCGAATATTCTGCAGGCTTGCTGACCGAAATGCCGAATATTAGACAAAAGAATTCGGCCGTTAAGGAAGAAGTGTTTATTCAGAGAGTCCTTTCTCTGAGGCTTGGATTGTTCAGGAGAAGATAAGGAGTAAACTACTGCCTGAAAATGCAGAAAAAAATATTTTTGCATCATTATCTTTCACTTTTAAATTTTAATTACGATAATTCAAGTGCATAGAAATTTTTCTGATAAATTTTGTTGATTTGTCTAATAGGGAAGTTGATTATGTAGCTATGACTAATTTAATGATTACAAGAAAAATACATTGTTATAAAATGTAATATTTATACAAATTAAAAAAGGGAAGATTGTGGAATGACTTTATTAATCTTATTTAACTTTCATCTATTATATTTTGAATATCATCATTATCATTACAGCCCTTCACAAGTCCACTGCTGAACATAGGCCTCCCCCAAGGAATTCCACAAAGCACGTTTCTGAAGAAAATTAAATTAAACTTTTAATTTTTATAATAGTTAAAAAATAAAACAATAGTTTTTGTTAGTGTTACTAGTACTTTTCATATTGAAAATAATCAACATGCTCCCTGATGAACAATTCAATTAGAAACACAAAAAGTGCGATCGCCCGAACAGGGACTTGAACCCTGGACCCTTGGATTAAAAGTCCAATGCTCTACCGACTGAGCTATCCGGGCTATAGACAGTAGATTGAAATTTCTGTTTACATGCAAAAAAGATTTCTAATTTTTTTATTGAATGTTATTATAATAGTAATCACTATAATATAGAGTATATGTAATATCAGTAACAGATATCTTCCACCTTTTATGCTGTTTCGATGCCGGTTAGAGTATTTTTAGCTCTGGTCTCTCTCTCTAAACCCCATAGAGCATGTATGGGATTAGCTTGGAAGACAGATTAAGAAAAGAAATCCTGACCCCGCTAATTTGAGAGATCTTAAAAACGAATTACAGGAAGAATAAAACGCAAACTCTCAAGATTTTATTGATAACTTGATTAGGAGTATGCCATGAAAACTGGAATTTATTCGACGAGCTACAGGAGGCAACACTAAGTGCTGATTATAGCCTAGGTTATATACTGATATAGCCCTTCCTAAGCATTTATAAAATAATATTAGGTACAAAAAATATTCCTTTCCTGTAAAATTTACCTTTTTTTAATTTGGTTAATTTTTGTAATTACATCGTTTGTTTTTTCGACGTTTGCAATTTTAAATTAATAAATAATAAGCAAGTAATATTTTGTTTTGTACACATTTTTTGGATTCCGCAAATTTGTCCACGAGTGTATATTATAATTTATAATATAGTTTAATAGTTACAAAATAATTAGAACACGAGTATCCTTAACAGGTGGGACGTGAATGAAACATGTGATAAGAGAAAAGGGGCGATAAAGAAGTATTGAAATAAACCAAATTTTTTTTCGCTTAAAAACTTTCGCGCGCCCCTCTAGAACCTTGCGCCCCTAGGCACGTGCCTAGTTTGCCTTAAGTATAAACCGCCACTGACAGTAGCCGAATGGTGGATGTTAACCCTATTATACTATTGAGACTAATGTCGCTTTCAAATTAATTTATATTATATATATTTATAAAAAGCAAGTTTTTATTTGTATTTGCTTATCATTTAAACTTTAGTTTATAAGGAATTTTTCAATATTTTGATTTTTTAAACTTGCAACATATTTACATGTTTTGTTCAATAAATATACTTTGTAGCAGACTACAGCAGCTTAAGGGGCAGATCTAACGCGCACAATATAGACCTCAACAGAAATTTTCCGGATCAGTTTGGATCTACAGAGGTATGCATTAATTTTTTATAGAATAAGGGTGACAAACGTGCACACAATCCAATTACATCTATATATATATATATATATATATATATATATATATATATTTATAGAATAATGGTGGGGTGATAAACGAGCACACAGTCCCCGTGATGGTAAGTGGTTGCTGCGGCCCATAGACATGTACATCTATCCTCTATAACAAATCAAAATGTAGATGCGTTGTCACCCGTGAGGACTAAGATGGAAGGATTCATTTCCACTAAAAAGGGTCTCCGGTTCTCTACACTCACCATACGAAACACAGCAGAGTTAAGCTGCTATTTTACGCTGGTATTCTGTGAGAGCGTGGTCCTTCCCCGGTCGAGCCGACCCATTCGTGCTACAACTATACTACTAATATAGCTGCAGCATGGCTCTACCACGTAATATATATCATACCTAATTATACTACAACAGCCATCTACATCTAAATACAGAAGTTGTAATGCCTTGTTTCGAGTAACAGTGGTCTCCGGTTCTCTACACTCATCACACGTAACACAGCAGCTTAAAGTTGCTGTTTTACGCTGGTATTCTGTAAGAGCATGGTGCTTTCTAGTCGAGCTGACCCATATCGGTGCTGCAGCCATAATATAGCTGCAGCGTGAGTGTGGCTCTAACACGTGTAAAAAAGTTGGCGCTAAAGCAAAAAAAAATACACATGGTTAAAATAGGAAGTCGAATAAATAATAAGTAATTTTTTTTTTAATTTTATTCATTTTTAAGAGCCAGTTGCAGCGTGAATTTATCACATATAAATTAAACTTACTTTAAAAAACAATTTGTGTTGGCGGTCTAAAAGAATCCATTAACCAATATTATCGTCTCTGGGTGTCGTAATAGAGTATGGGGAAGGTCTAAAAAATCATGGTTTTCAACAGATGGCGTTATAACCGGCTTAGCTTATTCATATCAGATTTAAAATATCCAGACCAGAGATAGGGAGTAGCGCGAGAATTCTCTCATCGTGCGGGAATTTGTTTTTTTTATAGGATAAGGGTGACAAACGAGCACACAGTCCACCTGATGGTAAGTGGTTGCTGCGGCCCATAGACATCTACATCTATTCTCGATTACGAATCAAAATGCAGATGCGTTGTCACCCGTTAGGACTAAGATGTAATACCTCGTTTCCAGTAAAAAGAGTCTCCGGTTCTCTACACTCACCATACGAAACACAGCAGCGTTAAGTTGCTATTTCACAATGGTATTCTGTGAGAGCGTGTTCCTTCCCCGGTCGAGCCGACCCATTCGTGCTACAACTATACCTACTACCAATATAGCTGCAGCATGGCTCTACCACGTAAAAAATATGTATGTCTGAGATCTGAAATCCGCCAAAAAGCAGTGGAGCAGTTAAGCGGGCTAGTTGCACTTAAACGCCGCCCAATTTTATTTTTCATATTTAATTTAATATTTTTATTTTTCTGTTTCGTATAACTTTAAGTCAAACTTGTGACATCACTAGACTTAACGAAATCTTAAAATCGAGTAGTATTTCAGTGTTTGAAGGTAATGAAAGGGGGCCTGTGCCCAGCAGTAGGACGTATGTGGGCTGTAATTTACTTTAAATATTTTGAAATAAAGAGAATTAAAGAGATATTTATCTGGTCTTTTGTTACCAATTTTGGTGGGCACTGGCAACTTATACACTTACAAGGAAAATAAAACGTTTTGAAAAAAATGTAGATAGGTACAAAATAAACAAAAAAAAAGCTTACATAATATAGCAAATCTTAATGGAGACTTAGATTTTCAATGTCATGAAATACTTTTATTTGGCACATACATTATAACAAAGAAAAAAAATAGGCAAGACAGAGAAAAAAATAGTACTTTCATCTTAACAAACATATATATAATAAATATATATGTGAAATAATAAGAAAATTATGAAACCTATCGTAATAAAATTCAAAAATAATCCTACGTAACAGAGATAACAATGTTACATTTTCAGGACAACCGTGTAGCGGAGCCCGAGACGGAAGCGGTGATGAACTGGTCACAGTCGCTGCCGTTCGTACTGTCCGCGAATCTGCATGGTGGGGCGCTGGTGGCCAACTACCCTTACGACGGCAACCCCCTTATGACCAGCGGCTCGGAGTACCTCACGCCTGATAACGGAGTTTTCGTCCATCTCGCCCACGTCTACTCTGATGTGAGTTCCTATTGCTATTGTTTCTCTCTACTTTATTAGTAAGTACTAATAATAAAGTAGAAAGTAATTTTCTCAACCTTTACTTATTGCATAATTTACTTGAAAAAAAAAAGTTCCACTGGGTTTATTGCTGCTTCTTCCCAGGACAGAGGTTTTTTCGAACCAGTGTTAAAAGTAAAAAGTGGTAAACTTAAAAACTTTGTACAACCGACTTCAATATAAATAAAATGAGAACATCATCAATGTAGTGGAAGTCATTTAAATACGCATTGTTAAGGGCAACTCAAAAACTACTGATTAGATCTTGATCAAATTTATATCGGAAGCACCAGCTTTCAAATAAAAAAAAGAATCATCGTAATCGGATCATCAAAAACCTGGAAAAAAGTGTTCTGAAGTTACACAGATAAAAAATTACAGTCTAATTGAGAACCTCTCCCTTTTTTTGAAGTCGGTTTAAAAAATAATATTCTTTATGAATTACCTGTAATCTATATTGAATAAAAATATTCTATTCTATTGCAACTCTTCTTCTAAGAAGATGATCGTTTGTTTTCTTCAGCTGCCTCAGTCTGAGTGTAATATATTTCGGACTAGCTGCTCCCCGCGACTTTGTCCGAGTGAAATTTCTTAAGATGAATTTCATGGGTTTTAATTTTTTTGCACGGAACCCTAATTCTTTTTTTAAAATATAAGTAGCCTGAATTACTCCCTATAAAATCAGCTATCTTCAAGTAAAAGTCCCATCAAAATCGGTCTAGTCGTTCCGGAGATTAGCCGGAACAAACAGACAGAGAAAAATTTAAAAATTGTTTTTTTTTTGTTATAAGTACCGTATATACTTTCATATGCAGTTATTAAAAAGCTAATATTTTGATATTACACATAGACACTTCCATTTTTTTTTATAGATATATGTATACAGTTACCGTTTCAGCCTAATAAGCGTCCACTGTTTAACATAAGCCTCCCCCATAGATTGCCTTATAGGGGAGATATTTGCCAGATGCCACGCTAAGCGGGCGGGTTGGCAACAGCACTTTTTTATTTCTGGTTTTTATTTGGAAGCGACAAAAAATATTAGCTCTTATTGATATAATTAATTCTTTATTCCTTTTGTAGGCTCACCATAAAATGCATCTCGGACAACCCTGCAAGAACTTACCGGAGGAGAAGTTCCCAGATGGAATCACTAACGGTGCTAAATGGTAAGTATATTTTCTTTATCTTCTTCATAAAACAGTTCTACCTCTGGGCACAGGTCTTTTCCGTAGTTGGCGAGATTTGTTGATACCGCCCCGTTTGATAGCTGCAATCGCTGTGTAAGACTTTTTAATTTTTACCGCATTCATTGTCACTAGCCTGTGTACTTTCTGTTTTTTTTTTTATACGTGGTAGAGCCATGCTACCGCTATATTAGTATTATAGTTGTAGCACGAATGGGTCGGCTCGACCGGGGAAGGACCACGCTCTCACAGAACACCAGCGTAAAATAGCAGCTCAACACTGCTGTGTTTCGTATGGTGAGTGTAGAGAGCCGGAGATCCTTTTTACTGGATATTGGCATTCCATCTTAGTCCTCACGAGTGACAACGCATCTGTATTTTGATTCGCAAACGAAGATAGATGTGGATGTCTATGGGCCACAGCAACCATTTACCATCAGGTGAACTGTGTGCTCGTTTGTCACTCGAACCTATAAAAAAAAATCGTCGCGTGAGTTTCGTATGACATTGAATCTGGATGACTAGCAGCAACTTCCTGATAACAACTCAAAATTATAAAAAACTGGGGTTATCGACCCGTCTGCCAAGCGATGCCAATCGATAGCAAAATCCCCACTATGAGGCAATCTATGTGGGGGGTGGCGTGGGGGCTATGTTCAGCAGTGGACTTTTATAGACTGTAATGAATGGATAAATGAATGAAAGAAGAATTTGTCTTAAATTGACATGCTTCGCTTGGCCAACGTCTCACATTTTTGACGATGGTGGATTGATGATGGATGGATATTATCATCTATCTTATAAATGATGTTCTCCAGACCGAAATTCGTCCTCGGCCAGTCCTATTTTTTTTTGTAATGAAATCACGGTATTCCATCTTAGCCCTCAGGTGTAAAAACGTATCTGTATCTTTATTTTTAATCGAGGAAAGATGTAGATGTCTATGAGCCACAGCATCCACTTACCATCCGGACAGGTCAAAGTCTACTACTGAACATCTGCATCCGCCATAGGTTGCCTCATACCCTAATAATGAAATGCCATAATTGTCACGATTGGTACTAAATGTCGTAAAATGACGAAGATGATACTGCCCATCTCCTGCTTCATTCCCCCTCTTACGGGAGCCATGGGATGATATGATAAAGTGGATTTTCTAACGCCACCACTTTTCAGTCATCGCTTTACTTCGATCTAAAAATAAGTTGTCTTTTTTACCAAAGAGATTTAAATATATAGGTATACTATAGAGCGGACATAGGGAACATTTGCATACAAAACTTTGTGCTCGCGCATGTGCGACGCCCTCTAGCTAAAAATAGTAAAACTACGCTGAATATTTATTAGGAAAGCATTTCAACTATTCCCCAGTAAGTGACGCTAATAAATGTAAGTTAAAAACCCGTTTTAGGAATGTTACCGTTTCGACATCAAAGTATCGATAATGTTGTTGACGGTTACCAAGTTTGTAATGCTTTACGATATAATAAAGGGGAATATGCATGCTTTTTTATTATAGAAATCTATTTATTATGACTCCCATCTCACCAAAAAATCATATAAACTTTTTAAATCATGAATAACGTCATGAATGAAATGAAATGTCCTGAAATAAAATATTTAATTTCCAATAACTAAGAATCAATTCAAACAGCAGTCACATTGGTAGCATCTTGGATGACGTCACCAGGTCCATTAAACGCTATAATAATAGCACATGATTGGTCGGTCGGCGTCGAAGGCACATCGCGAAACGTCAAATCCAATAAGAGAGTGCCTCCATGTTTTTCAAATTCGTTTCTTTTACAAAAATACACTTTAAATCTAACATATTTTAGAAAAGTACTGAACTTAATAGTCGTTAAACGATATATTATTATACAAAAACACAAACACACACAAGCATGAGAGTAGAATAAATGCTGTAGAAATGCGGTCATTAAGGAGTATGTTAGGGATGAAGCTGAATGACAGAGTGAGAAAATGTTTAATAAGAGAAGAGTGTGGTTTGCAAGATGATGTTGTGACCAGGATTAAGAAAGGAATGCTTCGGTGGTTTGGCCATGTAGAAAGAATGAATGAGGCAAGAGTGACAAAGCAAATTTATGTTGCAGAGGTGAACGGCATAGTCGGGAAGGGTCGCCCTAGGCGAAAGTTTATCGACCAAATTGGCGATATATTAAAAATGGGCCAAATCAAGAGTACCTTTAACCGACGAGCGTGTATGCGTAGGTATATGGATGTGGAGGAAGCGAGAGAGGTGTGTCAGGATGGTACCAAATGGAAGTCCATAATCTCTGCCTACCCCTCTGGTTGACAGGCGTGAGTGTTTATGTTATGTTATGTTATGTTAAAAACACAAGTTTGCGCGTTTACCGCTTAAAAGAACACCTTTGTCGTATCTCCTCAATTTCGGAGTACTTCTCTTGTTGCCGCAGCCAGTAGCGGAATCTTCGGCGTCGACATATCGAATGACCTGCAGTAGCATGGTCACTTGGAAGACAAAGCTAAATTGGCTTCTAAAAAGCTTGGCGTATTCAATAGAGAGGGACACTACTGTGAACAAAAAAGCTACCGTTTGCAACTTTACAAGCGCAGTTTCGGCCTCACATGGAATACTTTTCTCATCTCTGGGCCGGAGCTCCCCAATGCGAACTCCTTCCACTTGACTGCAGAGCAGAGTGGCTCGAATCGTCGACGACCGAGTTCTCTTTGCTTGGCTCGATTTTCTATCGTATTTAACACGAGGAGTGCTCTGAGGAATTGTTCGGATTAATTCCAGCCACCAAATTTCATCAATACACATCGCGACAAAACTTACGATACCATCCACATCATTTGGATGCTTGGTGGTCCACTACCGTGCGATTTATTAGGAGTTTTCTTAGGAATCGTTTATCATCGGCGATTTTTATGCACCGTTACGGCTAAGGTCCCTAACCTTCAAAAAACGAGATTACTCCTTTTTAAAAGGCCGGCAACGCATCTGCAATTCTCCTGGTGTTGTAGAGAATTATATTAAAATTTTAAAAAGAAGGCTATCTTGTTGACGACTGGTTGTACTGGCTGACATAGACGTTTCACGTTAAAACCAACGGCCATATGCCCTGACACAGGCCCATCCGATTTCTTTATTGGTATGGATACAGTATCGTTTACTGTTTCACCTCCTTAAATATTATAGATGATAAAAAATTTTTATCTCATTCTGTATAATATTTTTTATCGATAGCACCAATCGATAAACGTTGTCAATCACTAACTCGACGTTACTAGATAACAGAGGGCGCTTATTTCAATGATGATAAATGTTCTATAACAATCTACTAGAAATAATAAAATTTAAAAATTATGGAGTAAATATACATTATACTTGCGATAATAAACGGGACAACGGGGAAAATATCGGGACTTACAATACCTTAAAGCACAATCGGGCATATTTTTTAAAAAAACATTTTTTAAATTTAGGAAACGAATGCGTCTTGAGCTTTTGACGATGTCAGTAATACTAAATGTCACAAATCCTAAATATATCCTATAGGACATTAGTAAGAGGTGAGCGTTTTGTTGCTGATGTCCGGTCTATTGCTTTGACTACTTAAATGTCTTTGTTTTTTTTTTTTACAAAATTTTTAGCATTTTTTCTAATGATGAGGAATCCACGACTTTTTCTGCCATCAGTGCGGCGCTACATAGGAATGAGATGAAATATTTGACCGATTTCATGGCGGGAAAGTTATTTTGTTAGGAAAATGAAAGAGGTAATGTTTCTTTCTGTAATATTGGTCATATTTTTCATTAATTTGTTTAGAAATAAATCATACTACGGATATACCTAAAAAAGGGAATCAAAAAAAGGGTTAAATATGTGCAAAAAAATTAAAAAGCAAACCACTGCGGCATTGTTTTATGTATTTTCATAATACTCTAGAAACCGATTAACTTTTACTTAAAACCTTACAGTTGAAAGAGCAATGGCAGAAAAATAGTTGACAAAAATTATCGCGTCTAGAAATAAGTTACATATAAAATGAGTTTTATTATTTTTCTATGATTTTTCAAATAAAAGGGTATTTTAATTAAAGCCACAGAAAAAAACAGACATTTTTGGGAATATCAAATGACTTAAATCATATTACTCTATTCAAGTGTTGCCATTTAGTATATTCATACTATTTTCTTATACACTTTGTAAGACTACCAACACAACACACAAAATATTTTTATATTAAGTTATTATTAGTTATAGCTGTAATATAAAAATGCTGCAAGGCTGCAAATAAAAGTGATATGGCTGAGAATAAGTCTTACAAAGAATTTCCTACAATAATACATTATCTCAATCATAGTACTATCTAACAATTCCATTTAATGTTATGCCAACACTAGCCTAAACAAAATGTCACTGTTTTTTTTACTGTCTTAACGGCTCTGGGTTCTAGCCCTTCTGAGAATGTCACTAAGATACAAAGGCCCTGGAGCCATGCCAGAAATATACATTTATAGTATGCAAATATATAATAGAGATACAATAATCTAAAAACTCTCAATTATGTATTATGTATTAAGCTAACATCAAACAACCACAGGAAGCATTACTTTTTCCAAGTGACATAGGACATAACCTAAAAATGTTCAAATGTAAATATCTTTTTTTGACGCCTTCTTAGGACAAAATTCTTTGGCAGAGTTATTAAGGGACTGACGCTTAACATTTTAAGATATTTTTTATATATAGACGCTACTATTTCTTCTCAACTAATTTTATGTATGAAAGTCTGCTATTGTTCTTTATAATTTTGTGTAAAGAAAACTTCACCTCAGTCCTAACTAGTGACATCTGGTAAACGGAAGATTATTAGCTCTCATTAGTGTATTTTTCCGGGACCAATGATAGATATAGGTGATAGATTTACGTGGAAGAGCCATGCTGCAGCTATATCAATAGTATAGTTGTAGCACGAATGGGTCGGCTCGACCGGGGAAGGACCACGCTCTCACAGAATACCAGCGTAAAATAGCATCTTAGCACTGCTGTGTTTCGTATGGTGAGTGTAGAGAACCGGAGACCCTTTTACTGGAAACGAGACATTCCATCTTAGTCCTCACGGGTGACAACGTATCTTGATACTTCGTAACGCATTTTGATACTTGAATCGAGGATAGATGTAGATGTTTATGGGCCACAGCAACCACTTACCATCAAGTGAACTGTGTGCTCACCCTTATAATATAAAAATAAATTAAAAAAAGATAATAAAATGTCTCATCATTAAGGTACGTCCTCGCCGGCGGAATGCAAGACTGGAACTATCTCCACACAAACGACATGGAGATCACTTTGGAGGTGGGTTGCTACAAGTTTCCACCGGCCGAGGATCTACCGACCTACTGGGAGGATAATAAGGAAGCACTCTTGCAGTTCATAGAGCAGGTGTGAAACATTACTTAATATTAGACCTTGCTTTTCTTTTTGCACTTCTCTTCAGCGGGTAGTAAACAATTTTCTTATATTCTGCCATTTTGTTTCTTAATTCTTTATCAACTTAGCTGATAGATAGTCAAAATAATAATAATCAAACACTTTTTGGGCGAATTTGTTGTGATTTACGATTTACCGGGTGTACCCAGGTAGGCCAGGCAACAGTCAAATACCATGCTTATTGAGTGGACTGATACTTTTCAACCAAGTTTCATGATGCATCAAACATTTCGGACCAGGGTCGGTTTGACCGGGGAAGGCTCACACTCTTACAGAATACCAGCTAAAATAGCAACTTAACGTTGCTGTGTATCATACAGTGAGTGTAGAGAGCCGGAATCCTATTTTAATGATAACGAACCATTCCATCTTAGTCCTCAACGGTGTATATATGTATCCACATTTTGATTCTTAATGGAGGATAAATATATCAGGTGGACTGTGTTACCATTTGTCATCCTTATTATATCAAAAAAACCGGAGATATGTGTTACGCAGTGTATGCTCTATGATTTTAATACATTAGTCTATGTCAATTGTCGATTGTTGATTGTCAATGCCCTTGTATTGTCGTCGGTTCCTAGAATAAATTTTCAAGATTCTTTCTGTTTTTTTAATCAGAATGCTATACTTTTAACTTTTGAGTCATTGAACCCATCAACACACAAAATGAAAGCCGCGAAACTATTTCAGGTGCACAAAGGGGTGCACGGGTTCGTGCACAGTCACATCGGGCACGCGCTAGCGAACGCCACCATCTCTGTAGCGGGCGTGCGGCACAACGTGCGGACCGCACACGATGGGGACTACTGGAGGCTGCTTATGCCCGGCACCTACAACATCACCGCTGCCAAGGACGGGTAATCCAACACGACACACTGTTAATTAATAGTTTAAATTCACGTTGAACGTATTTACAGTTAGTTAGACTACACCTTGCACAATTCACACTACACTGATAATTATAATAATGTCCTCCGAGCCCGAGTTGCGGTCATGGCGGCCAGTCTCAGCGGAGTCTAGCCATCTATCTGCGCAGGGCAAGATTATAGTACACAAGTGTATGCGGAAGCGCAAGTGCACTCTCCATTTCCACTCTGTCATAGTCCGATGGGATGGTTAACCGACTCGACCGGAGAGAGATCAGGCGCTGAAGCATCGGATTTACGGTCTTTCCGAGCACGGAGGCGAAACACTGCCAACTTTTTGAGTCCGGACTGCTACAGAGAATTTCTTGACTGAAAAACCCAACAACTAATTTTTGTCCGACTCGGGTTCGAACCTAGAATCTCACGATCAGCAACCTTGTTTACGACCACTATAGCAACGAGACAGTAAATTAAATGGTTAACCACAATCTACAATATTCACACTGCACACAGTTCGACCGAGATGGTTTCACCGGTCAGATTTCTAATTTTTAAAGATAAATATACATTGTAACTTTAGGCTCGGAAGGGCTAGAACCCAGAGCTGTAAAGTCAGTTTAAAAACAGACAACACAGAATACCAGAGTCAAATAGTAACATAATGCTGCTGTGTCTCGTATGGCGAGTGTAGAGAACCGGAGACCATTTAGGTAATAAGTGTCACTTATCTCACACATCTGTATTTTAGATAATTAATAGAGAATAGGTGTACGTGACTATGAGCTACATCATGCACTTACCATCAGGTGGACTGTGTGCTCGTTTATCACTCTTCTACAAAAAGTACTACATGCTGTTAATAGACGGTTGAACTTCTTTTATTTATGTACGTCTGGTGGGAAACTGAGAAGCTTGTCCCTTATAAGTGTTGTTTGATTGATGTCGGTACGGACAGTAATTACAAGCTTATCATTAAGTATAGATGTTTTATCTCACGAAGACATGCGAGCCTTACTTTGTTGCTTGGTAAAGGGCATATTAATTATTTTTTATATCACCTTTCTTCGTTTATTTTTCGTTCTGACGGTACTCTCTGGTAAATTTTAAGTCTTGAGCTTACCCAAACTAAAACAATGTACATGTGCACTTAAACTTCAAGTAGGGTTCAAGCTCTCTTTTCATGTTTTAGAGGATTTGATAAGATTAAATAAAGGACAAAGAACGAAAAAAGGATATCATATTGTTATTTTAATAAAAAAAATATTTATTTAGCAGGTATTTTAGCAACATTTATTAATATAAAACAATGTTAATACGCAATGTAACGTATTTTCTCTCTATAACATCGTGCTTCACCTCAGTATTTTTTATTTTTTTTTGTCATCAGCTAGCAGAGAATGTCGAATACGCGCGATATTGCCCTGTCCTCTATTAAAATTTTCAAATTAGGGAACAGGATCAATTTTCGGGTCTGAAATATAGGACGTCTGGTCATCCTAACTACAAGTTACTATCCGTCCCACCAAGATCATGCACGACGCACGACGTACAGTAAGGACCGTGAATAAGGCGCTTAAACCGTAAACTCTATATTAGCAAAAATGTGTCAACAGCCTTATTTATCTATTATCCCTTATTTTCTAGATATGAAAGTGTCACGGAAGAAGTAACCATTCCGGCCAATGGCTCGGTGAGCGTCAACTTCACTCTTATGGTGGACGACCCGCAACATTGGTCTTCTGCCTACGACTTCCGGTAAGTCAACGCGAAATGCACTCTCGGACGAACGAAATAAGATTCACTTTGCTTTAATGTTTACTGCCTGTCTTATTTTATGTTATATGGTATAATATAGTATTTTATTGTATTGTATATGGTTTTGCAAACATTTATCATACTTATTAAAATCATTCATATTTTATGTTATTGGTCCTAAATATATTTTAGGGATATTATGGGTTTGGTTCATTTTAAACAATACAAATAAAAATGAGTGTATCTGTGATTAAAAAAATTTACTTTTTCTCATGAATAGTTAGTTGTTTACTTGATAAAACTCTGATTTTTCTGGTTTTTTTTTATCACTATAAGTGACCAGATTTAACTTTAGGTTTTATATTTTTTTCTATTAAGTTTTAATAACATCTTAACATCACCTATAATTAGAAGTGTTTTTACTAACAATAATTTGACTGCTTTCTTTAAATGGAAGGTCTGTCGCAAATTGCAAAATTCCGTCCACTGAAATTTTAAATGTGATCTCAAAAATTTTATTGCTTTGTTATTAGTAAAAAAAATTAAGAATATTTTGAACATTGTTTTGTGATTTTAGGAGCTATTTTTTTTTTAAAAAAAAACTACGTATTTTATAGATTTTTTTTACACATGGTATAGAAATAAACAATTTTTATAAAGTTTTTATATATTTTTTTAATTCGTGTAAATTGTGATTAAAAAAAAACATCCAAGGTTTGCAGGGCAATATCGTTTTTCCACACCATAATTGGACCATGTTATGCAGAAACGTTTCAACTCACAAAAACATGAAGTTACTCAGATTTGAATAAAATTAAACGCGATAAAATCCGTAAAATCAGTTTTAATAAGAAATATATATAAATATAAGAAATCATTAGTCATTCATTCTTCAAATAAACTGAGAAAATAAACTCTGGATGAGATTATTTTGGCCACTTTGTGATTTGATTATTTCTGCATAACACGGTTCTCATTAATGTTTTTAAATTAAATTATCCATCATAAAATATGTGTTTAAATACTATCGAATGTAATCTATATAATTTACTACTTACTATTTTATGCTTTATGCTTATTTATGTATAAATAAACTGCATGCAATATATGTGTGTTGTTTTTATACTAACTGTCCGCGTGTACTTACCGTCTTTGTATCTTTACAGTCATTCAAAATTCCACTGCTAAACATAGGCCTCGTCCATAGATCTCCTCATAGGATATTTACCATAGTTGCCACGATTGCCAGGCTTGTTGGCACCCGCAGTTTTTTATTTTCTCAGTTGTTAGGAAGACGCTGCTGCCCGTCTGGTTTGTTTCCCTCTCCTGTCTTTTACGACACGACACTGGACGATATGGAGTAGTGGATATTCTTACACCGCCGCTATACACCACAATGCTAACTGGCGGCTTGTAGTAACGTCTTCGTACACACACATTTATTTAACAGCTTTGGCGGAGACTTCGACCGCGTCATTTACTTTAGATTACTGATTTACCCGAGACTTTAGAATAGTTAAGATAATTATCATCATAATCACAGCTCTTCACAAGACCACTGCTTAACACAAGCCTCCCCCAAGGAACGCCACAAATATATACAATCTTTCTTAAACAAAAAATTAATTGGTCGTGAGCACGAAGCGACAGTAGTGTATCCAAGTTTGCGCATGTACACTTCCCAGCGAATGCACTGTAATAGTATGACACCTGAATATGAATGAATGAATTAATGAGATGACAATAGAGGACTATCCTACCATCCAATAGAGGACTGTCCTACCACCCAGATAGATAGACATAAATATAGAATATAAATATGAAATACTGTGTACTGTTACCGTTACAGCCTATTAAAGTTCACTGCTGAACATAAGCCTCCCTCATAGATTGCCTCATAGAGGGGATTTTTTTGATTTCTTACCATAGTTGCCACGCTTGGCAAGAGGGTTGGCAACCGCAGTTATTTTTTAGTCGTTATTAAAAAGACGCTGCTGTCAATCTCCTAATTTGTTTCCCTCTGTCGCCTCGTACGGCACCCATAGGATGATATGGGGTAGTGGATATTCTTATACCGCCTCTACACGGTAAATCTGAATGGACTAGACCACGGGTTCCCAAACTATTTTGGGAAAGAGACCCCTTTTCCAAAATTAACTGATACCTCAGACCCCCCTCCCATAGCTAAATTACCTTAAAAATCCTATCTAGTTTTTTTCCTATTGATACAAAATACTTACCAATTTAAAAACTTTGTAGTTGGTTAAGTGAGTAAACTTGACATCGTTTTCTCATGAAAATTTAACAAAATAAATAGACATGAAGTTAGGTAAATTCAAGTGTAATTAATAATTATTAATACAAATCACGTAAAAAATACTTCAGTATTAATATTTTTGAAAAGAAAAACTAAAATATCAAAGTAAACAATAATACATAAGTAAAAATAAAAATTCGGTGTGATTGATGAACCTAACTTGGGTTAATTAATAGGGGTCGATTTTTAGACCTCATCGACCCCCAAAATTAGTTTTCGTTTATGTCGACCGCTGGGAAACCGATTTCGAGCCCAAGGGGTCGGTATCGACCACTTTGGGAATCCCTGGACTAGACGTTAATTCTACGCTTGACAAGGATGACTTTACTAGCTAGAGGATTATAACCATTCGTATCTTTCTAAAGCTCGACGAGTAATATTTACAATAGACATAAATATGTGCAATATATACGAGACAGGTGTCAATAGTCAAAACAAATGGAAAAATTCATAAATATATTAAAATAATAGAATTTTTTGTGATTTTAAGATGTAAGCTTCTTTTGGCATGGAGATGGAGAATTTAACATTACACAATCCCAACACCATTAATATTATTAATGGTGTTGGGATTGTGTAATGTTAAAACAAACTAACAATGCATATTCTGAGTCTTGCCGTGTAATGGCGGCGTATATCATATATATCTATATAGTATATCTACTCAATGAGGGCTAATAATGTTTCGCGCACCAGATGTCTCTAGTTGTCAATAAGGTTAAGTTTGTGTTTCTAGAGTAATAAACGAATGCACAAAACAATGCCTCAGTGGTTTGCTCTTTAATTTTTTGCACATTTTTAAGTCTTTTTTTTTAACTTTTATGAATATCCGTGGTTTGGTTTATTTATTTTAAATCTAATTAACATAAATTATAACTAATAGTAAAGAAAGAAACATTAAGCTTTACATTTTCCAAATTAGTCCTCACAGGTGACAACGCATCTGCATTTTAATTCACAAATGGAGATAGATGTAGATTTCTATGGGCCACAGCAACCACTTACCATCAGGTGGACTTCTTTAAAAACACAACCTCATATTTAAGTGGCGCCGCCCTGGTGGCAAAAAGTCGTGGATGCCCTCATTGGGTGTGTATTGCAAGACTATGGGAAATACCAGAAAAACAATATGGCATCCGATTTATGGCGGTTAAGCATCTCGGACTGCGATCGTCAATCAGTTACCCAGGCGTGACGATCTAGGCAAATCCTGCCTACTACGAGAGGGGCTCAAGTCCAGCAGGGAACTTTTACAGGCTGATGATGAAGAAAATAATTAATCTAATATATAACGTGCAGCAAGAATGGTGACGTTATATACGTTTTCCCATTTTCGTTTCATGAAGAAATTATGCTTCCATGGAACATTATTATTTACGGATTTATTTAAAGTTTTAGAAAATAGCATCTTAGAGCAACCTGTACTTAGAGAACTGTCGTATTGTTTTATTTATAAATTTTTGTGTAATTTGAATAGTAATTAGATTATGGTACTGCGATAAAGACACTGTTTTGTTTTCGTTTTCTAATCTAGTAGGTACGTTTACATCTCTTGCGATACGGACGTTTTTATTTGTGTTATTAGTGCTTGTGTAAACTTGTGCTCGTAATGGCAAATACAACAAGGTTGATCCTAATTTTAGTTACTTTTTATTATTAAGTTTGTTTGAAAAAATATTTTTCAATTTACGAGTTATTTTAACCTTTCAAAATTATTTATGATTAATTGGCACTAGCCCCACCTGTGTGTTATATTAAAGTCACCATTGAAGCGGCACGTTGTATAAAAAATAATATTGGATTGTTCGCATTTTATGCGCTGCCATACCGTCCATCAGATTGCGCTAAAACTTTGTCAACTTATTGCTTGCACTTGTACGAAGGTTATAGGCATAGTACAATTAACTTACAGCAGGTGGCGCGCGTATCGTACCGACACTTTTATTTGAAATTAATTTATCACAACTTCAATAAATCATTCCTAATTAAACAGTAAAGTCTTCTAAATTTGAAACGATATTTCCAGTACCAGCTCGATCTATCTCGGTCTATACAAATAAATAAAATTGAAGTGTCTGTTTGTAATGTCAACATTACAGGTTTTACTAAATACATATGAAAGTGTATACGGTACTTATAACAAAAACACAGTTTTTAAAATTTTTCTCTGTCTGTCTGTTTGTTCCGGCTAATCTCTGAAACGGTTGGACCTATTTTGACGGGACTTTCACTGGCAGATAGCTGATGTCCTAACTTTTTTCCGTGCGGGATTTGAACCCTCGAACCTTAGCGACGCAACTCAAAGCTGAGTAACTAAACCACGGAGCCGTCAGGATATCATACAATCAATCAAGTTGTACATGGTAGAGCCACGCTGCAGCTATATTATAGTTTGTAGCATGACCGGGGAAGGACCAAACTCTCAATGAATACCAGTTAAAAACAGCAGCTTAATGCTGCTGTGTTTTGTATGGTGAGTGTAGAGAACCGGAGACCCTTTTCACTGGAAACGCATTTCATCTTAGTCCTCAGAGTTGACAACTCATCGCGACAAAATTCCCGGTACCATGCACACCACTTCTGGATGCTTGGCGGTCCAGTACTGTGCATTTTACTAGGAGTTTTCTTCCTCGCACGACTTCTTTATCGAATCGTTTACCACCGCCGGTTTTTGCGGACCGATACGACTGAGGGACCTTCAAGAAACGAGCTTACTCTTTTTGAAAAGGCTGGCAATTGACCTAATATTGCAGTTGTTCATTGACAGCGGTAGTAATTTACCATCAGGTGAGCCGCATGCTCGTTTGCCCATTCTTCTATAAAAAAATCTACTTACCATCAGGTGGACTGTTTGCTAGTTTGTCACCATGATTCTATAAAAAAATTCTATGGGCCACGGCATCTACGTACCGTCAGATGGACTGTGTACTCGTTCGTCACCCTTATTCTATAAAAAAAAAAATCTTCCACAGCGTGCTAGAGAACATAATGAATACGCGGTACCACAGCCCGGTGGAGATGTACGCCGAGCTGTCTGAACTAGAGAACCGGTTCCCTGACGTCGCTGAGTTCAGGTCTGGAGATGCGTTGCGCACAGCCGCCATACATCAACTGAAACTTACCGACCAGGTTAGTGTGGCTCCAGGTTAAGAGGTCAGTATGGCACCAGCCTGCTGCCACCCTTACGATCTTAATAAAAATGATTTGATTTGGCGCCAGATTTAATTTTCTGAGTTTCTTTGTAAATAACAAATATAGTGACACATATTTAAAAAAAAAATTAACTTTTAAATAAGTGTGTGCGTGCGCGTGTGTGCGATTTGATTTATTATTTAATAAAAAATAATCATTAAAATAATTTCACAATTGGCGAAGATATCGTGAAACATACAGTTAAGTTAAAACTGCAGCCTATATACGTCCCCAATGCTGGGCACAGGCCTCCTCTCATTTCTGAGAGGGTTTATATTAGAGCCGTGGCAACTCATATGGTTAGCGCTCGCTGTAAATTTCACAGTACGCGAGCAAACCGGGTATGATCCCCGCCGGCACCAATGAAATTGTTAATTGCAATGTTAAATGCTGATTTATCTCGTGCTCGGCGGTGAAGGAAAACATCATGAGGAAACCTGCTTGTCTAAAGAATAAGAAAAAAACATTTCGAAAACACGTGAAGTTCGCTAACACGCATTGGGGCAGCGCGGCGGACAGTTCCTTGCCTTAAAAGGAAACCCTCTCAGAAATGAGGGGCTGTCTGTGCCCAGCAGTGGGACGCATATTGGATGTAACTTTACTTTACTTTATACAGTTAAACTCAGATTCTCCTCCTTTTTCGAAGTGGGTTAAAAACTTGAAATAATTACCTTCTGTTTTTTTTATATTTTGTGTAAGATTTTGTATTCATATTGAATACTTAACGTAAGTCCACATATATGTTATGCCTACTTGAAGCACATGTTACTTTTTTATCTTTTATGTTTCTTATAGTAAGTGAGTGTATACTCTTTTGGGAAATAAATTTCTTAAACCACAAATACAATCCATCTAATATAAGTATAATCAGAGTCTTTATTGCTATTACAGATCGGTTCACCAGAGGAAACAAAATTCCACATTGCGATCATAAGTAACCTCTACAGCTCGCAACCCTTGGGTCAAGAGATGCTTCTGAACTTCGCGCGCCACATCGCCACAGCATACAATATCGGAGAACCCATCCATCAGAAATTACTCAAAAACGCCGTCTTGCATTTCATACCAAACCTTGACCCACTCTACACGAAAATTCTCAAGGAATACGATAACACCGACAAGTGTGACTACAAACCTTTGGAAGAGGAATTCGGCGATAGCGTATACAGTTACCTCACAAAGAAGAATCTTAACCCGTTGTCGAATTACACGCGTGAGAAGGCGTTCATAAATCTTCTAGAAGAGGAGAAGTACGATCTGATACTCGAACTGGCGTCCGGTACAGAAGACGTAGCGTATCCAGACCTGTCTAGAGAAATCTACGAGCAGTTTGCTAAGAAATTCCAAGACAACAGAACGCCGAGTAATCGATACGAATGCGCCGATCGGAATATCGATACGAATCACGGGAATCTAATCGATTTGATCTCCGAGAGATATAACACGCCGATCATCGCGGTCGGATTGAGTTGCTGCAAGATGCCGGCACCGGACCTCATCGCCTGGGTGTGGAGAGACAGCTTACGCGGGATCATGAAATTTGTAGAGATTGCCAACACTGGTAAGTTTTGTGTAGCAATAAAAAATATTTATGCGCGGAAGTTTCACACTTATACCATTGTTGTTTAGAATAATGTATCACCTCACTCTCTTATTCCAATAAATAATGAACAAAACGTGTTCAGTTCACACGCGGTAAAAGTGAAAACTACAGAAAAGTTTACCGGTAACCGTTGCAGCCTATTAAAGTCCACTGCTGAACATAAGCCTCCCTCTTAGATTGCCTCATAGGGGGGATTCTTTTTATTTTTTATCATAGTTGCCACGTTTGACAAGAGGGTTGGCAACCACAGTAATTTTTTAGTCGTTATTAAGAAGACGCTGCTGTCAATCTCCTGGTTTGTTTCCCTCTGTCGCCTCTTACGACAACCATGATACGATATTGGGTAGCGGATATACCGTCACTACACGGCCATAATAAACAAGTATTGAATTGTGTGTTTTTTCAACAACAGCTTCCGATACATGGTGATTAACTTTCTTGAAACCTTTCTTTATTACAACTTTTATTAATATAAAATTGGACTCAAAATCATAATTTTATTGAAGTGATAACTTCTTTAGAATTGTTGTGATTTGAAACTCGAAGAAACTAAAAAGAGATAAACATATACATCTACAGGATTTAGCCTGCGAGAGAATGAGATAGAATACTGTATACCGTGTTTCTTATTATCTCGGTGTCCTTTTCTGAAGGTTTCACTTTTACCGCGTGCGAACTGAACACATTTTTTTTCTTCTGCTGACAGTCCATTTGATGGTTAGTGGCTATAAACCAATCTTTTGACGGCAACCAAACTCGTAAACTATATAATACTTAAAAGTATTTTATCTAAGCATATTTTTCAGCTGGCAATATGAAAATGAAGTTTAGAGCATGAAGTGTTTGCAAATCTAATCACATCTGGGCACGATTAGATGTCGCATTGCACTTAATTATATTTCTCTAATCGGTGCGTGCATAATCACCATTTGACCTTGTAAAAGTCCACTGTTAGACATGAATCTCGTTGTAGGGAGAGTTTAGTATAATTATCCTGACCCTGACCTTGACCCTGACGTTTCGAGCATTTTACAGCAGCCACAGTCACGGGAGGGGGGGGGGGGGTGGACACGCAGGTGTCTGATGTTCCGATGTCATAGCTCGACTACCTTCAGTTTTTTGAATATCAATTTTTGGATCTATCTACGCAGAACAAGCTTACAGTATCTTGAAGATTTGCAATGGTATGCTTGGGTTGAGATTTAATTTTACCAAATAGGATTCCAAGCAGATGGTAGCACCCATCCATTTTCTTGTATGGATGCTGTAAAGCACCCGAAACAACGGAAATTTCAAAAGTTAAAACTAGTTTGATTTAAAATAGTATATTTCACTACGAGTGCGGGCGGAGTAAGCCTGTCATTGCAAAGAGTTACGACAAATGTCTACCCGAGCCGAGGCGCAGCCGAAGGTGAAGGTTGACAGTCGGAACAAGTTGCAATGACGGTTCCGCACGTGTACTGAACAACTATTTTTAATACAGTTGCGAAAAAATGAAGCAATTTAATAAAATAATAAAAACACAATAAACTCAACTAACTAATCATTTATTTCTTATAAAAGTTATAATTCACATATACATTGAAATTGGTACAGTTTTTTATTAATTGGGTAAGTTTTAGGCTTAGCTTTCCATTGACGTCCGTCGAGTTGGGTGTTGATACGCATTTTTACAGAAAAGTTACACTATTATAAGCACACACACAAAGTTTCAACACGCGGAAAAGAATTATTGAAAATCAATTATTCTTGCAATGTTTATGTCTAATCCTACCGTAAAACTGGCGCCATTTTGTAATGTCAATGTCGACGTCAATAGGGATGTCGATTCAAATCGTATTGATTTCTAAAATATCTATATTTTTTTTATGTTTCTATTTATAATGTAAATATAAACCCATTTTATGAAAAACAAGAAAGATACCATGATAAATGATCTCTTATTGAAATTTGTTTTATTTAACAGTACCTATTAGGGCAGATAACAAATAAAATAGGTTAGGTTCAACTTATGTCAAAGAACCGAATTGATTGACCCGACTCCACCTGGTACGAGTCTGTCCTACCCCTAGAGTGGTTTTGTAGAGCCGGAGGCGCGTAGGGGGCGCAGCCTCCGCCTGCTGTAACAAATCGTAGGCATCGGAAGAGCCGGAGCGGCTAAGGCTGGTCGCTGAAGGCGACCAACAAGCCGAAGCTGCAGAGGCGAGGAGGGATGCCTGCGATTTGTTACGCTAAGGCGTAGAGGCTGCTCTTCCCGCAGCGCCGGAGACGTAGCAGTCTCAAAATAGATACAGACTGACAATAATAATAAAAAATGGCGTCAGTTTCATAGTAGGTAGGAATTGACATAAATATTGCAAAAATATTTGATTTTCAATACTTTTCTCTCAAAAAGTACGTTTCCGCATATTGAAACTTTGTGTGTGTGCTTATAAAAATGTAATATTTCTGTAAAAATACATATCAACACCAAACTCGACGGACGTCAATGGAAAGTCGTGCCAAGTTTTAGGTTGCATATTTACTGTTTGAGACAAAATATTATAAATTTCGTGTGATTGTTCATGTATATTTGTCAAAGGTGTTATATAATGGCGTTTGCTAGTTGATGGAATTGGATCTGATGAATTATCATTATCAACGTAGGTAGATAGACGAACGTTCTCTTCAGTATTGTCATGTGAAGGAGACGGACTGGACTTTAAATTAATGGATTGTGTGGTTTTTTCCCAGTTTCTAGTTTGTTGTTTACTGAATCAGCAATATAGCCTTCTGCAACTTTGTCTGACTTCCAACCTCCTAGTCGCTTTAAGGACGTCAAATTGGCTCCTGAATCTGCCAATAATGTAGCAGAGATCCTCCTGAAGCTGTGCTCAGTATAATACTCAGCATCCAGCAGACCAAGAAACGTAGCTATTTCTCTTGGCATATTACCAAATTTGTTTATCCCAACTGCTTGAGCTGTACACTTCCCTTTTTGATAATTTTGGAAAAAACGGTCGGTTTTTGCTTTTTGGGACCCCTGATTCATATATTTTTGCATTATTCTAAGAAAATTTCCTTCAACAACAAAGCTTCTCGGTATCTTATTTTTTGTATTCGGAATCTTGATTAGTAGCATTTTTCCATGGGTTTAAATATCTTTTAAAGTAATATTGGCTAACTCCTCTCTGCGACAAGCTCCAACAATGCCAAAAATCAGAGCAACCTACAAAAAAAAAGGCATTTGGTTAATATTTTTTTAAATAATATATTGACTGTATTTTGCGATTTCGTAAACTGAATACTAAAGAAAAATATAAGTATTTATTAATAAATTACCTTTGTGGCTAAATAACGATTATCGGGAGCTTCGTTCAAAAATCTTTTCACTTCATTCGATGTTAATATTTTCGACTTTTTAGTTGTAAAACCGTCTGATTGTCGCTTTAAGAAAGTATTTAGTTTTGGGTATTCACTTATATCCACGTTGTTTCTTATTTTCAGCATACTTTTTATCATCGAAAACCTCGACCATAACGTAGAAGGTTTTAATTTTGCTGAAAGTTCGGAGAAGTATGCCAACATAACATTTTCTGAAAAGCTATTTGATTTTTTCTCTTCTCTACACGCAATAAATTCTTCGTATGTAGACATGTAGCGACTTTTTGACTTCTCCAGTAAAATGTTCTCCGAAGCATTTTGTGCAATTATACTGAGTTCCGGTGGTGTTAATTCAAATAAAATATCGTCGAAATTACTCATTTTGTGCAACAAACAACTAAAATCGCAAAGAAAATTTTTGGAAAATGGCGCCAACCGTAAAAGAAAAAGAATATAAGCAGAGATTTATTTTTGTTTTCTTCACCCATTATGGGTAGGCAAAGGGAACTATGCCTATACAGCCAAGTCTTCAGTAGAATTTTTTATTGATATGAAATGAAAAAAATTAATGAGATCAAATGAAATAAAACATAACCTAACTCATTGAATCAAATCATTAAATCTGATATTGAAAGAAATTAGTAGCTTCTTTTTAGAAACATTTGCATGAATCATAAAAACTTCTCTGAATTTTTTTTAGTAAAAACTTCGTGGTTGGTTTTTCTTTTTAATAGATAGTATTTTGACAGTTGGGAAAGAGAACGCACGAGTTCGGAAAAGGTAAAGAAAAAGCTCGAGTATGTAATAGCCCACATCCCTAATGCTATACGCCCCTGCAATACGGCACTTTTTGAGCAACTGTATTAAAAAGACGTTTGCATGTGCCCTTGCAGGCGTGAAGGGCTACATAAAGAACGAGGACGGTCTGCCGCTGCGGGAGGCGACGCTCGCGATCCCGGGCTCGTCCCGTCAGTACCGCGTGTCGCGCAACCGCGCGCACTTCCGCGCGCTGCTGCCGCCCGGAGACACCCGCCTGCTGCTGCGCGCCAGAGGATACCGCGACCAGGTACCTGCACGTGCAACTTGTTGCGGGAGGCGATCCCGCGATCCCGCGATCCCGGGCTCGTCCCGTCAGTACCGCGTGTCGCGCAACCGCGCGCACTTCCGCGCGCTGCTGCCGCCCGGAGACACCCGCCTGCTGCTGCGCGCCAGAGGATACCGCGACCAGGTACCTGCACGTGCAACTTGTTGCGGGAGGCGATCCCGCGATCCCGCGATCCCGGGCTCGTCCCGTCAGTACCGCGTGTCGCGCAACCGCGCGCACTTCCGCGCGCTGCTGCCGCCCGGAGACACCCGCCTGCTGCTGCGCGCCAGAGGATACCGCGACCAGGTACCTGCACGTGCAACTTGTTGCGGGAGGCGATCCCGCGATCCCGCGATCCCGGGCTCGTCCCGTCAGTACCGCGTGTCGCGCAACCGCGCGCACTTCCGCGCGCTGCTGCCGCCCGGAGACACCCGCCTGCTGCTGCGCGCCAGAGGATACCGCGACCAGGTACCTGCACGTGCAACTTGTTGCGGGAGGCGATCCCGCGATCCCGCGATCCCGGGCTCGTCCCGTCAGTACCGCGTGTCGCGCAACCGCGCGCACTTCCGCGCGCTGCTGCCGCCCGGAGACACCCGCCTGCTGCTGCGCGCCAGAGGATACCGCGACCAGGTACCTGCACGTGCAACTTGTTGCGGGAGGCGATCCCGCGATCCCGCGATCCCGGGCTCGTCCCGTCAGTACCGCGTGTCGCGCATCCGCGCACATTGATTTTATTACATACTAGCTGTTCCAAGCGACTTCTTCCGCGTGTTATTTGGGGTTTTAATTTTTGCGTGGAACCCTTAATTCTTTTTCTAAAATGAAAGTAGCCTAAGTTACTCCTTGTGAAATTAGCTATCTGCCAGTGAAAGTCCCGTCAAAATCGGTCCAGCCGTTTCAGAGATTAGCGGGAACAAACAGACAGACAGAGAAACAGACAAAAATTTTAAAAATCGTGTTTTTGATATAAGTATCGTATATACTTTCATATGCATATAGTAAAAAGCTGTTATTTCGACATTACAAACAGATACTTCAATTTTATTTATTTGTATAGATATAGATTTCGTCAATATGAGCCATCCAATTACAATTACGTACTTTGTCATTATTATACCTTATGTCAAGATCTAGTTTCTTTCTACTATTACAATAAGATTGTACATAACAGGTTTTGGCGATTTTGACCTTTAAATTATTATCATGTAACCATGAAATGACATCATTTATTGCGTATTTTATGTCATTTTCGTAATAATGTATTTTTCCATGATATTTTTTTATGATCAAAGATATGTCATCCGCAAACAAAATGATTAAGATTTTATTTTACAGTTTTCTAGGCGTGATTAATATCTATAACTGTGCCAAATTACAGATTTGTAGCATCCAAGGTCTCTGAGCAAAATCGCGGACGGACGGACGAACCGACATGGCGAAACTGTAAGGGTTCCTTGTTGTGTAACTACGGAACCCTAAAAAACATATAGTCAAAGTCTTATCACCGGCCTAAGTAGTATTAAGACGAGAATCATTAATTTTCCCATGAGTCACAGATACCTATCTTCCAGATGCTGACGTGGCGTGTGGTGGAGAACGTGGTGAAGCAGAAGGACATTGTGATGAAGCGCGTCAACGCAGAGCACAGGCCCCTGGCTGCTGTCGACGAGCTGCCCATCGAAGACAACCCCAACATCGTCTACATCACCGGTGAACTAACTCATCACTAATCTCTTTCCATCATCGCCTTTCCAGACTTCTTCTTCACCCCTTAAAAGTTCACTGCTGATTAAGGGCGATAGGTCATTGCAGAGAAGATTTGCCTTAAGGCGAGGTTTTCTGACGTTAAAAGACTTAGCGCTCCGTTTTATGCATACATTTTACCCAGCACGAAGTAAGCGTATATTCGGTGGACAACAAGTTACTTTATTTTACACGTTTTTTATTATTATCAGGAAATAAAGGATGTTAATAAAAATGTAGGCGATTAAATATCAAATACAATAACGTGCCTTTCATAATATCCATAAATATGGGTTTTTTTTTATAAGAAGGGAGCCGTGTTAGCTCAGATGGTTAGCGCTCGCTGTAAATTTCACAGTATACGAGAAAAACGGGTTCGAGCCCCGCCGGCACCAATGAAATTGTTAATTGCAATTTTAAGTGCTGATTTACCACGCGCTCGGCGGTGAAGGAAAACATCGTGAGGAAACTTGCATGTCTGAGAAATAAGAAAAATAAAATATTTTGCAGATATGTGAAGTTCGCCAACACGCATTGGGGCAGCGCGGCGGCCATTTCCTTGCCCTAAAACCCTCTCCTGATTATATCCATTGACAAGAGATAAAATTATCTAGTCCTTATGCCAAAGCACGGCAACGGGGAGAAGTATATCCCCGTTTGACATAACGAGTAGACATATATCCCCCGTCCGTAGCATGGAGCCAAATGAAAGATAAAAAATTATACTTTTTTGACATTTGAAAGGGACAATTTTATCCTAGTTCATTGGACATGCGTTCAAGTTTATGTCATCAAAACATCTATCCAAGTCTAAGTCTATGTTCCATTATATGTACTGTGGATATTATATCCACCTGTGTGCACATGCTCGAAGGGTGGATAAAATTAAGCGAGGGGATAAACACTTTCTTCTTTCCCCGGGGATAATATTGTCTCCTGCCCATGCTAGCCCTGCTGTGGGACGTAATATTCTTTCGTTTTAGAATTTAATTTCATTTATACGCATATTTTTTCTGAGCATATACTATTTCAAGACGTATAAATTCTCGAGCATCAAAATCTTGTGTCATATACGATATTATATGTGTTTTTAAAACACAGTGCATTCATTGAAGAAACATCAATAGAATTTACCATAATATATTAAATAAAACCTGTCTTTCTTACCTCTCCTTCACTTGTTCTTTTTTGTACCTTTGCCTCATCCAGCAGAGGGCGCCATCTTATGGCAAATTCTATGAATGCAATGCTGTGTGTTTTCTTACACACATGATAACTGTTTTGTTGTAATGCAAAACAGTCTCATTTTGTAGATTGGACACGATATTTTCGTACGATATTTTGTCCAACGTGGCCTTAACCGCCTCACTTGGTAAATTGACTTATGTAATCATAGACGAATATTGACGGCTCCGTGACACAGTGGCTTAGCAAGTATTTGTATGGCCTACAAATAATTGTTCCGGGTCTGGATGCTTGTCCTTGTGCAATTTATGTTTGTAATCTGCCTCCACGACCCAGGAGAAAATCCTAGTGTGGGGGTAACGTTTTTAAAAAAAAAATAGTGTCAGACGTCTCACACCTTTGACGTCGTTCCCCTTCGCCGGTCTGGGCGTTTACGTCATTTTACGTCTAGTGTAAACGGAATGGTTATGCCGTTCAGCAGTGGACTCGTAAAGGGCTGCAATGATGATGATGAATCTAGTCCAGACTCAATTTTCAATTACGCTGATATTCAATTACTAATTGTAGCTTTATCCTGTTGTGATTCCAGGTCTGGCACTGGATTACAACAGTCTACCGCTGGTAGGGGCTAAACTGTCGGTGTCGCCATTGACATCAATTCATCCGCTGGTCACCAACACCACCGACGCAGCTGGCAGGTTCCTCCTGTCTCTGCCCGTTACCTACATGGGGAGGGAAGTCTTATTGACAGTCGTTCACGATGGATACATAACCCTCAATAGACATATCAAAGTGAGTAGAATATAATTCTTCTTATTAAGTCCAGGGGGTTGTTTGCATGCTTTTAAGACGTTAATAACCATTTTTAACATTTTTGTCTGTCTGTCTGTCAGTCTGTCTGTCTGCCTGTCTGTACGGGCTAATCTTCTAATAATGGTTGAACCGATTGTAATGAAACTTTACGAACAGACAGAGAGCAATACCAAGAGGAATGTAATCTATATTTTATTCGAAAAACTTGGAACATTTCAAAAACATTGATAAAATAAATGGTCTTTGATTAACTTGTATCTAAATGTCGCTACGTTGCTATATTCGCTTAGATAGGGCCTATCTAAGCGAAGCCGGGACTGGTGGCTACTAAAAATATAAGTCCAAAATCGCTAGGCTTCTTGTTTAGAGCATAATTTTTTGGTTGCAGCACAATAAACTATTTAATGTGTATTTTAAAATGAAATTTTAATGGAAGCAAATTAGACATGATGAATACCAGCGTAAAATAGCAGCATAATGTTGCTGTGTTTCGTATGGTGAGTGTAGATAACCGGAGACAGAAAAGAGGCATTCTATCTTAGTCCTCACGGCTGACAACGCATCTGCATTTTAATTCGCAAACGAAGATAGATGTAGATGTCTATGGCACAGCAACCACTTACCATCAGGTGGACTGTGTGCTCGTTTGTCACCCTTATTATATAAAAAAAGACATTGGCGTGCTTCTTTATAAAGGAGGAAGAAAAAATGTTGCCAGTGCAATACAGTTCAAAAAATTAATTTATGTCGCATTTATTTTATTTTATTAATCCTTTATTGCAACACACCTTCAACTAGGGGTTACAAAGGGCAGACTTAATGTCCTATTACATAAAAAGATGGAATAAATTAAGATGTTGGCAGGTGCAAATTGAGGACAACAATAAAAAATAACTAAAAGATTTTAAGATTTTTAAAATAATTGTCACTAAAATAAAAGAGATGTCGTAGGTAATTTGCTTTTAGTCGCTTGACAAAGTAGTGTTCATTATAGCGTTCCCAAAATAATTCATTTCAAGATCGCCGACGTATGCTCTTATATTAGTTCTTAAATGTGAAGAGAGTAGAACATTCTAGGCTAAACCTACATTTAACATTCGCCTACGTTGATGCGAAAATTCGAGAACAATCGCTATTTATTTTTTATAGAATAATGGTAAGAAACATTTACACAGTCCATCTGATAATAGCTGGTTTGACACTAAAATGGATATAAAAAATAATGTATGTATGTCTATTTCTTTGACACGCTCTGTTTACATCGGCTTGATGGATTGTCGACATAGATTATATGGAAGTGATATAGATTATATAATATTTATATATTGCATCTGCAAATACGAATTTACGCGGAATTAACCGGTTCGGTGCGGATGGCACGCCAGGCGTGCTATCGATTATTTTTGTGTGGCGTATGACACGCGAGTCGTGTCTTTTTTTAAATCGTTATAACTCGCTCAAATTGCGTTTTTGGAAAATTTATCCAGAACAAAATATTCATTATTTCGCAATTAGTTCTAACCTACAGCTTCGTTTCTGGATATTTTGAAAATTTGGAATTTTTAGGGGTTGACAACCTTTTTTGAACTTGTACATGGTACTCTTTTTACTTTGTGGGTTTTAAATCATGTTGTGGAAAAATAGTCTAATAAGTAACAAATAATAGAACTCATTGCGATCGCTCACAAACTCAAGTTGTAAATAAATTTTTGGAAAACAAGTCTCCTGTTAAAAAAAAAAACAATGCGTTTGTCTTATTGTTTAATTGTGCTTAAAATGGTCTTATTACTATCATATGGCCAAATAGACCTACGAAGTACCATGTGCTCTTGTGATATGGTATAAGATTTATTTTTGCTTGAAACAGTTCGAAACCGTTCATGCATAAAAAAGTTCGCTAATAAATAGTCTTTTGTCAATCCGCCGCCGTATAGCGCCGGCGTTTTTTTCGTTTTGAAAACACTTGTTTTGCTATTCTTACTAATTAGACGTTTTCAATTCGACTTTTACTTTTACATTTGTATAACATTAAATAATATTTAACATTTGTAAATATTAATGAATCATGAACCTTATTTTTTTCCAAATTAAGGTTCTTGATTGTTTGATATTTACAAATATTATTATTAGGTGAAAATTTACTTAAATAAAAACCACGGTTTTCCAGGGTGATTTAGCTGTACCTAGACTGATAAATGATTTTTTTATAAAACAAAAAATAGTACAAAATGTTTGTAACCTCTGCATAAAAAAGTCACTTACTCTCAATTTCAAAGAAAACACGTAGTTACCCACTAAAAACAAGTATCCTTCCGTTTGTAACTGATGTTTGATGCCAACAATGAAAAAAGCATAAAAAGAAAATTATTTTTACACATGGCTGATGGCACAATAGGCGTGTCATCAACTTCTGTGGCCATCAAACGCTGTGCCATTAAAGCCATCAAACAACTTTTAGCTGTGGCGGCGAACACGCCGCCACAGCTAAAAGTTGTCGAAAAACGGTGCCGCAACGAATCTGTTAAGCAAATTAGTTTATAACAACCCCATTATGAGGGGAAGGTTTTTTTCAGTAAGTTTTTTGACGCCGGTCGGGTTTATTAATTACTGTTTTAATCATTAAGCTTGTATGTATTTATTGTTTCAGATTAACAGCGATAGTAACTTGACTCCGAATGTGCTGTTCAAATTGGAAAGGGACGACACTGTTTTGGGGATGCCCCGACTTGTTTTTGTAATGTTGTCTGGTGAGTATTCTTACATCTGTGATCTTCTTCATTTGATATTGGCTGTATTTGTCCATGCCACATTACTTTTATAGAATTAGGGTTACAAACATGCACACAATCCACCTGTTGGTAAGTATGTGTTGTGGCCCATAGAATAATAATAATAAATATTTATTGCCACAATAATAAGTTTAAAAAATAATTAGCCTTAAAAATTCTATAAAAAAAAATGAATATTCACAATTAACAGATGAACTTATATTACTAAGTATACGAATATAGTGTGAGGTAACGGAAACTGGCTCAGTATTCGCTGAGCATTATGCTCAGCGCTGTTTTTCAGCCAGTCCCTGCTGTTTTGGGTATATTTTGGTCGCACACACGTGGTATTTATGTATTAGCAGTAACCCTCTTTATATCTTTTTTTTATAGGATAAGGGTGACAAACGAGCACACAGTCCACCTGATGGTAAGTGGTTGCTGCGGCCTATAGACATCTACATCTTTCCTCTATTACAAATCAAATAGCAGATGCGTTGTCACCCGTGAGGACCAAGATGGAATGCCTCATTTCCAGTAAATATATAAATATCTGTGTGTTAAATAAAAATACTTTATTACAGAATAAACATACAGCCATTCGGCTTAAAAAAAAACATCTGTTTATTAAATAACACCTTTTTAACCCTTTTTTTTTAATGTTGTAAATGTAATATGTTCTTTTAATATAGTGGCAAATCATTCCATATTTTTGGGGCCGAATATTTAAAACAACCTTTGAAGTTTTTAGTCTTATGGCATGGAATATTCAACATGTTTGAGGCTCTTTTACGTGTACTTACTTCATGGGCATTCTTACTCCAATCTAATTTATTGTATAAATACCGTGGACTTTTGTTACTAATAATTTTGTAAATTGAGCAAACCAAGTGGAGTTTCGTACGTGCGTCTATTTTTAAAATATTGTTTCCGTTAATATACGGAGTAATGTGAGCTCTCTTTGGGACGTTAAAGCAAAAACGAGTACATGCGTTTTGCACGCGTTGAATTGCCTTTTTTGTTTTTACATAAAGTCGTGGGTCATAGACGGTATCGCAGTAATTAAAATGTGATAACATCATTACTGTTAAGTATTTTCTCATGCTATATAAAACCTTTAATCAATAAAAGCAGTATGTATTTTAATATTTACATGTTCATTAAAAAGTAGTTGGCTATCGAGGGTAAGACCAAAATTATTAGTATGATCCACTCTGAGTACCTTTTTATTACTGACTAGCTGTTCCCCGCGACTTCGCTCGCGTGTTAGGGTTTTTATCTTTTTGCGTGGAACCCTTAATTATTTTTCTAAAATGAAAGTAGCCTAAGTTACTCCTTGTGAAATCAGCTATCTGCCAGTGAAAGTTCCGTCAAAATCGGTCCAGCCGTTTCGGAGATTACCCGGAACAAACAGACAGACAAAAATTTTAAAAATTGTATTTTAGTTATAGGTACCGTATTTACTTTCATATGCATTTAGTAAATTACTGTAATTTTGACATTACAAACAGATACTTCAATTTTATTTATTTGTATAGATGAGTATTTCCGGTTTCTTACTTAACTAAAATATACTACAAATCACGTTAACAAAGTGCGCACGAAAATATGGGAATGGGTCAAACACGTCTTCTTAACTCGATCTTTATATCTAATACTTAGAGCATAGTAATAAAACAGGAAGTACTGTTTTATACCAAAGAGTAAATTATACACCATGTCTTATAAGTCTATAACCGTCTATGCCTTCATCTCCCTTATCTTTGCTCGCTCATACTATACCTATCATCATCAATGTAACATTCCATTTCTTTTTTCGTCTGATATTCCGTTCTTTAGAGCCGTGGTAGCTCAGATGGTTAGCGCTCGCTGCAAATTGTTCACAGTACGCGAGGGAAGTGGGTTCGATCGCCGCCGCACCAATGAAATTGTTAATTGCAATTTTAAATGCCGATTTACCACGTGCTCGGCGATGAAGGAAAACATCGTGAAGAAACCGGCATGTCCGAGAAATAAGAAAAAGAAAGTTCGAAGACATGTGAAGTTCGCCAACACGCATTGGGGCGAATGGCGGACACTTCCTTGCCTTAAAACCCTCTCGGAAATGAGGGGAGACCTGTGCCCAGCAGTGGGACGTATATAGGCTGTAACTTTACTACTACTTTATTCCGTTCTTACATAAATGTTCACCACATTAAACAAAATCAGTGTTAGATTGTCAAATACAACGTTCGTGGGTTACAAAACAAAGAACTCGATCTTATTGTCCGCTCGTAATCGACTAAAAGAGGTACGGAGAATCCACGTCATTTTCTGCCACCAGGACGGCGCCACTGAGGAATGAGGTGAAATATTTGACCGATTTCATAGCGGAGAAAATTAATTTGTTAGAAAGTGTAAAGACGAGTGTTTCCTTTTGAAATATTAATTATATTTTATATGAATTAGATTAGAAATTTTATTAATTAATTACGGATATTCCTAAAAGTATTAGAATTAAAAAAAAGAAGTTAAAAATGTGTAAAAAATTAAATAATACAGCAGTGACGGATTGTTAACCGACTTCTAAAAGGAAGATGTACTCAATGCGACTACACGTTTTTTATGTGTGTTACCTCATAACTTTTTATAGGTAAACCGATTTCGATGATTCCTTTTTTATTTGAAATCTGGTCCCATATAAATTCGATCAATATCAGACCAGTAGTTTTTGAGTTATCCTTAAAAATTTATATTGAAGTCGGTTGTACATAATTTTTAATTTTAACACTTCTTTTATGAATATAAAAACACTAGAAACAGGAAAAGCTATTAATTAAATCGCAAGGTTTCAATGATGATGACACTGCGTGATCATCTGCATAGGAAATAAGCTCACCTCAGTCCCTCATAGAGTTTAACTTAGTGCGCAATGTATTAAAGCCGGAAAGTCCGTCTACTAGTATACATAGAGAGAGACCTTTGGTGTGAGAGTCTGGTGTGATTGTGCAGGCGTGGTGGGCGTGGCACTGGTGGCAGTGGCAGCCTGGTGCTACGGCTGCCGGCAACGTGTGCGTGACAATCGCCGCAACTACCTGTTCACTCACCTGCCGAACGAGGACAAGCGGCCGCTCTGCGAAAACGTGCCTTACGGTAAGTCGTTTTATAAATACATTCTTGACAGCTTCCAACTTTAAAAAGGCCATAGTACCATATACCACGTAGATACTCTTTGACAAATTGTACACAAGACCGAAGAGTACAGTCTACCACTTTATCTTGCTTATTTTGATCTTACAAATATTGCACTATGACAAAGTCTTTCATTGCGTCGAAATTTGATTTCATGATGCCACTCGTACCGGTAAGCGAAGTGTTGAGCATCCCCCCCCCCCACTACATGGATTGACGACGATAAGGCATGCAGGAAGTCGATTAATTCTGATTTGATTCCTTGTGGGTGGTCTATGTTCAACTGTGGACTTGTGAAGGCCTGTAGTGATGATGAATGAAGAACCACACTGTCCTGTTTGGTAAAATTATAAAATTTTGTACAACCGACTTCAATATAAATTATTAAGGATATCTCAAAAACTACTGGTCAGACCTTGATCAAATTTATGTGGACCACGTAAACACAGACAAATAAAAAAGAATCATCAAGAAGCATCGGTTTACATAGAAAAAAGATGTGACGTAACACAAATAAAAAAAACAGTCCATTTGAGTACCTGCCTCCTTTTTGAAGTCGGTTAAAAATATATTTTCTGTTAATTTTTACGCAGTCTGGTTTTTTCAATCATCATCAATTATGTTATAAATCAATCATTTTATACGTGGTAGAGCCATGCTGCAGCTATATTATTGTTGTAGCACGAATGGGTCGGCTCGACCGGGGAAGGACCACGCTCTCACAGAATACCAGCGTAAAATAGCTTAACGCTGCTGTGTTTCGTATGGGGAGTGTAGAGAACCGGAGACCCTTTTTACTGGAAACGAGGCATTCCATCTTAGTCATCACGGGTGACAACGCATCTGCATTTTGATTCTTAATCGAAGATAGATGTAGATGTCCATGGGCCACAGCAACCACTTACCATCAGGTAAACTATGTGCTCGTTTGTCACCCTTATCCTATAAAAAAAAATCAAAAGTATATTAATTATTGTCAAAATATAAATTCAGTTTCTCATATCACGTGTTCACATCTCTAGATCTACTCCAGAAGCCGTATTACGACGACGATGACGTCCCGCCTTCTGAAACTGACTCCGAAGACGAGATCGTACTGTTGAGATCTGATCGGGAGTGGAAGGCCGTCGATCAAAACGAAAACTAACATGCCTAACTAATTCCTTTTAATTCAAAATATTATTTATAAAACTTAGCATATAAGATAAATTTTCATTTTGTTATAGTTAGCACGATTATTTGCAAATACTATAATAATTATGTCTTACAGTACATATCTAAAAATGTGTTTTGTCTGAATTTGAGTAAGTTGAAAATGGGAACAAATTTTAAAACATTTAATACAAATGTTTTAAAACTAAATTTAAACATTTAATTTTAAAACATTGAATATACTTCCATCACAATATGGGGTGAATATACTGCATTAACATATTTCTTCTATAAACGACCGTAATGAATACTTGCATAATATTTTATTCTATTTATATATTTTGTTACGTGTGTAGTTAATGATGAATTAAAATTAAACAGTTATAATTTATGTTACATGCAGAAAACAATATTTTTATTACCATTTTATACAAATGTCAATAAATATGGCAACATTACAATGTTTTTATACATAACACAAATATCTGATCTGCATATATCTTTCTACATTAAAATCAAACTACTTATATAAAAGTGTAGAAATATTGTATTGCTTTAATAAATTAAGTGGGGCCAAGTAAAATTGAATGTGCTCACTACCAAGTATTTATTAAAATTTTATTATACTTTGTTAGATTTCTTGCATCCCTCCCTCCATCACGCAGTATTAGAGTACGTAATTAATTTCTATTGGCTTTTAATTTATTTCTATTGGCATGTTATTCACTTTTTAAAAGTATTTTTTTTTTACTATATTTTAGATTAATTTATGCGGCTTAATTTTTTTTTTTGTTAAAATATATAAATATCAATTAAATATCTAAAGACCACAGTTATGAAAACGTGAGATAATTCCCCTCCACATATAATATGTAGATAGATTTAGTTATTAAATATTCCACAAATGACCAAATGCTCAATTTAACTCAATTTTAAGACATCTTTAAGTCTCGTGCTGTCTCTATCACTTTAAGTCAAAGTGACTGTGACACCACGAGACTTAACGGCGTCGTAAAATTGAGTTTTCAATTTGAGTATTTGGGCAAAATTGTATTAATTAGTTAAAATTATGCTAAAATTATACTTATATAATAAAAAATATACAATAAAGTTTTTTGCACAAGTAACATGCAACATCAACATTCCTCATTGCATTTCTTATTTACTTATAATGTAGCGAGTAACGGTTTTTAATGATTATCATTAATAATATCAACATACTAGTAATAATAATAATTAATAAACAATGATTTGCCTTTTAGTAAGTTATTAATAACTATTTTTACTATTATGTAACAGTTATCTTTAATAACAGCTTTAGTACTATTAAGTAATTGATAATTACCCTCAAAATCACGTTTGAAAACGAAACATTTTAAATCAGTAATAATGTTTTCTATCACAGCCTCGCACAAAAAATCAATACAATATGAAAAATATATGTGTTAGCATTCTCCACATTAGTTACATTGTCAATATGCAACTAACGTTATAATAAATATTTAAATTGGTGTTGTGTCTCAGACAATGTTATAATATACAGAAAACGCATTAAAAATGGTTAACAAATACGAAACAGGGTTTGTAGCTTAAATGAATATCAGTAGTTATATAACATATTAGCTAAGATAAATTCTCATTGCAAGTCGGAATTGGCAGTGACTAATTAAATCTTTGTTTGGTTTGGTATCGATTTTTACATGATATTATGATAAATAATTGCGGATAGAACTATTATTCATTTGTAATTACGTTATGAAAGAATTTTATTATATTAAAAGTTACATTTACCAAATGATATAAGGTCAAAAAATCTGTGGAATCTCATGTATACAACATACGAATTTATTAAATTTAAATTGAAATGTATACGTATAGTATGCATGATTTAATAAAGGATACAAAATATTGGTGCTCTTTAAATGTAAAATGTTGTGATAGTTATGTATTAGTAGAATTTATACATGTATTAAATATACAAAGTAAATTAACGTGTTTCATTTCTTTGAATCTGGTCTGTGTAAACGTATGCTTTTTGCTTTCATTGGAAAGATCCGAATGAATGCGGAACGAGCCGCCAAAATTATTAATTCATCTATCATCGACATTGCACGTATTGAAATCTCAACAGATATAATTTTAGTTTGGCTCTAGCAACATTAACAGTCTGTCTATGTTTTGTCTATAGTTCGACTACCGCCGGCGAAGACGTTACGCTCACTTGTATAAATGGTACCTAATCTAAACTTATTAAAATTATTCTGATGGCTAATAAAAGTTCGAAAGTACTGGAATTTTCATTTCATAATAAAGTTAATTGAAGACGAATACGTCCTTCGATCCAGATATGAACCAGCGACTTATGGATGAATTATATATGATGAAAATAAACATAGAAAATAATGAACAAATCCAGATTGGGGTGTCTCATGTTAGTCTGGTACTTGGAATAGGACCATATCATATTCCAAGTATAAGTGGGATTTCCAAAATAGAACACCAATTGTGTTGCTTGCCCATCATTTCTTTTATAGTATAAGAGGACAAGCAAGCACTAAGTCCACTTAATTGCAAGTGAATGTTGTAGCCCATCGGCAACTACATTTATCCTCAATTAAGAATCAAAATAGAGATGCGATGTCACCCCTGAGAACCTAAATGGAATGCCTCGTTTTCAGTAAAAAGAGTCCTATTCTCTACACCCATAATACGGCAGCATTAAGTTGCTAGTTTACACTGGTATTCTGTTAGAGCATGACATGATCCTTTCCCGGTCAAGTCGACCCATTCGTGCTACAAAAATAATTTAGTAAAATGGCGCATGTCGTATAACTTCTTTCACAATTTTTTTATCTAAATCCACGTTTGTTTTTGGTTAAACATGGCCCGAGTAGTTCGCTGCTTCTAAAGTATGTACTTAAAACTAGTGTCCAAGTATCATATTAGTCTGTTAGTACCGTCCAAGTCCAGTTTTAAGTACTTACTTTGTTACGATTTGTTGATTTTATGTTCTGTTAGAGTTAAGTTCGGCTAGAGCTAATTAAAAAGCAGCGTTAGGAACCCGGCTTTTAATAAGCTCTAGCAAGATCTCTAACATTACAAATTGTGACCCACTAATTATTTTTACCGATAAATGAAAATAAGGCCGTAAGTTGCAAGCCTCGTACAACAAAACTGCTTTCAGCGATAAACGACGCCGTTCACACATTACGATACAGAAGCATCAATGAAATGCAATGTGACGCTTATACATATTGTTGGATAGTGGTTACATATATAACCACTATCCTTTGCTAATTAATAAAAAAAAAACAGTGTTGCCTAAAAACGTAAATTAAAAAAAAACACAATTTTACATTACATTTTTTTTTTGTTAATCCATATTGTATTATCTTGTATGTGACCCCCCGTTTACACTCTCGTGCGAGCGGCGAGGCGAGCCGCGAAGTGCGAGTGTAAACGCTAGCTCGTGGCTCGCCTCGCCACTCGCGGCGCTCGCGTCGGAGGCGGTTTTTTGGGCACGAGGCAAAGGGCCTCGCGAGGGACGCGAGCGTGGTGTTTTTCACTCGCGCTCTCTTTTTAGTTTGTTTACGGCGCCCTTCCATAATAACATTCGAATTGCTTTTGTTTTAAAATTACAATTTTAATAAAATAATGTTATTTAATCTTGCACAATAGGTACTAGCAATTTATATAAAATTATGAAACTGACAAGGTTCTGTTTCGATGAATAGATATCATCCATCATATTCCTCCTTTAACGATGTATTTTTTTTAATTTCCTACCTTTTAAAATGGTCAAGCATCGATTAATACTTATTAAGGCAATAGTTGATGCCGCTATTATTTCGACGTCTTCCATCGTTGCTGGCTCAACGCAAACTGAACGCTTCACGAGAGTGTAAACAGGCACTCGTTACCTCGCAACAACACGCGAGTTGCGAGGCGAGGTACGAGGCGAGGCGCGAGGCGAGAGTCTAAACGCGGTATAAGAAAAAAATTTGGGCATAATTAATTTTTTTTTTATTTTATTTTATTTATCTTCACGCACAATCCCTGACGGGGTAGCCAGAGAGAACAGATCGCCAAGTGTCACGATCCTTACATACCTCTTTCGCTTCTTTCAGATTCATTATCGTCTTCATGCATGCACGTCTAGGTATCCGAGTACTTTTGACCCTACCCTCTTCGAGCAATTTGCTCACATGGTCTTCGAAAGTTAGTCTCGGTCTACCTCGACACCTTTTAATATTAACTTTCGCGCTATATATTTTCTTCACCATTCGGTCTTCACTCATTCGCTCAACGTGTCCAAACCACCGAAGCACGCCCTTATCAATTTTTGTGATAAGGTCATCTTTCAAACCTGCCATATTGCGAATCTCTTCGTTTCGTTTTCGGTCGGCCATGGTAACGCCGCACATTTTACGAAGAGATCGCATCTCCACTGCATTCAACTTACTTTTATGCTTCTTCTGGCATACCCAGGTTTCGCTGCCATATAACAAAGTCGGTACCAACACTGCGTTATGTATTGCAAGGCGTGCACTCTTCGCTACGCCTTGCCTTTTGACTAACGCAGTCAGGGCACCATTGACTTTGTTCCCGGCAGCGACACGCCTGTCCACATCTAAATCACATCTTCCATCCCGGCTAAAAGCACTCCCCAAGTATACAATTTCATTTACCTGTTCTAGACATTCCTGATTTACCCATATTTCACACTTCGTTCTCTCTTCGTCCCTTTCAAATACCAGAACCTTAGTTTTATTAGCATTCAAACGGAGACCTTTAATTTCACATTCCTCTTTCATACACGTGACTAATGCCTGCAGTTCTGCCTCTGATGGTGCAATAAGCACTGCATCATCAGCATACAGCAGACAATTTACTTTAATGTCACCCAATTTCACACCCAAACAACTATCTTTCAGCTTCTGTAAACAGCTGTCGAGATACAGTATGAACAGCCAGGAAGACATGACACAACCCTGC